CGACGTGATTGAGCGTCGAACCTTGGGACATGGCCCAGAGGGTGAACGCTGCCAGGAAACGCCGTGCCTCACCTCCTTGTTCGCCTTTGAAGGCGGAGGGCTTCTGAACAGCCTTCAGACCGCTGGTCCCGGTGGTCGAGTTTGCGAGCTGCGCCATGGACTGGGTGAGGAGAGTCATCGACTGGAGTAATACCGTCATGGGGTCCGGGGGTTGCGCTGCCGTCTGGGTGCCCGGTTGGGCCTGCTGGGGGTTGTTGGCGGGGCCTGTCGTCTGCGGTTGTCCGCCTTGTTGTCCCATGATGGGTGGAGCGGACGGTGGACGGGTTGGGGGGATGATAGGGGATGGGGGAAGCGCGATGAGTAGCGCTACTTCAAGCTCATCAGTCGGAGTACCGGGGATGGGGGATCGAGTTGTGGGCGACTCAGCAACGGGGGAGTCAGGAACTGGGATAAACTCGTCCGCAAAGGTGTTCCAGTTGATCCGAGCAGGACGGTGATGACGGTTCGGGCAGGGGTTTTGCTCGCACGGTACCCAGTACCAGAGTCCGTCATCTAGGTCCTTCCGTTGGTGACAGTAGTCTTGGTCTTTGGTGTCCCATGTGTGAAGTCTGCCGGCGCAGTCCAGGGTGGGGGAGGCAATGTAGCGGCGGCGGGGACACTCTTGTTCAGAGCGTCAGCACCGGGGGAGAGATCTCGACCTAATGTCGCGGCGACTAGGCGCGTAGACTCAGGTCGACGTTCGGCGACGACCTCGTAGGCGAGCGGCAAGGAGCCGAAAGGGAAAGAGGGAGATAAAGAGGGATAAACGTAGCAAGAAACTCGACGAGGGCAGAGCGGAGGTCGGCACGAGGGCACGAGACCTGCGAAAGCTAGTCTTCACGCAGACAGCGACAGACTAGTCCCAATGACCAAGTTATACATTAGCAAACGAAGGGAGATACAACGCTATGGCCACTCACCTAGTCCCAATGACCAAGAGGTCGAGATGGGGACTAGGGAGCGCCTAAGGGGGTCCTTATATACTTGAGGGGCTGCTTAGCAACCAAAGACAAGGCGTGAGAGTGAGGTAGTGAAGATGACAAAGGAAGAACAAAGGGCGAGAACAAAAAGGCAAGGGCATGGCGATCACGGGAACGTGGCATGCGGCTGTGGGAACGTATCTACAGTGTCCAAATTGGAATGGGCTAGGAAAGGAAATGGTCCACGAATGGAAGGTGGGCGTCAAAGGGAGGGGAATGGGCGGCAAAAAGGGGTGTCTGTCCAACGTCCGTGACAATAGCGTTGTATCTCTCTTCGATTGCTAATGTATAACTTGGTCACTGGGACTAGTCTGTTGCTGTCTGCGTGAAGACTAGCTTTCGCAGGTCTTGTGCCCTCATGCCGACCTCCGCTCTGCCCTGTCGAGTTTCTTGTTGTGTTTATCCCTCTCCCTCTCTCTCTTTTCCCTTTCGGCTCCTTGCTGCTCGCCTACAGGATCGTCGCCGAACGTCGACCCAAGTCTACGCGCCTAGTCGCCGCGACAGGCGTCAAAGGGAAGGGGTTGGGCGGCAAACAGGGGCGTCTGTCCAACATCCGTGATATAGAGGTGTCCAGAATTTCGCTGTCTGATGCTGACACCCTGTGAGAGGCAAGGCTGTCCATGAGGTTCCTTGCCTTGGGGAGAGGACCTCAAGTGTGTTTGTGCATTTGCCCCCTAAGCGTAGATCAGTGTCAATGTCTGAATATGGCCAGGCATACAGTGGACCGAGATTGACCTCCGCCGGAGCAAGATCTGCTGTGCGCCTGACTATTTGTGCTGTGGCTAAGCAATAGCTATTCATGAGCATGACTTACTGATATGAGCTGAAAAGGAGCTCCTGAGGCCCTACACCTGTGAGTGCTGCTCAGCTGTAACAGGTTCACGGTGAATATATCAGTAGGCTGGGTAGAAGTCTAGTTAGGCCCGGCGCAAAGAAGATTGCAAGAGCCAACATGGATGTGACCAATGCAATGCATAGCAAGCCGTACTCCAACAGTAACGCATCCAATGCTTGTCTGTATTTGAAACCCGTCATCGGACTGAGAGCCTCAGTGAGTCCTGGCGATGTCCACGATCCAGTGACTCTTTGCCGAGATGAGCGTGTCAGAGGACTTGTCCAAGTCGCTGCCTTTACTCGTCAGAGAGACTCAGAGTATTCAAACTAAATACCCAAATCAAACCTCGGAATCAGTACATCCGACTAGTAATGACTTTGCCTGACGCCGCGCCAATGCGTGTGTGACATGCGGAGACAACAGAACTTGTACGCCCAAGAGGTTTGGCTCACGTTGAGTCAGCTCGGACGAGCCTTGGTGGTGGAGAAAGAGAGAGAGAATCCTGGGCGAGCACGGAAACTTCGGGACCGACGCTGGTGACCAGCACGGGGAAGTCTGTTGTCGTCGTCGGGGCGGCTTCGGCCGGGCCGTTCCCGCACATAGGCGTCTACCGCAACTGAGCCAGGCCAGGAGATCGTCTCGACTCTCACTGCCAGTGCTCGCTACTCGACTTGTGTCTATTTTCCTGATCTACCTGGCGTCTTCTCCCTGGGCAGGACAACGCTCTCGGCATCACCGTCAACGAAATCTACGGTGCAAGACGAAACAGCATTGCCTGGAAGAGACTGTGCACAGCTTTGTCGATGCTGGCCCCACGGCGATTGGCCATCGCCCTACTTCGAAACCGTCCAACACCCAGAGTGCCTATGATGGCGACCATGTCTACCGCCGCTGCTGATCCTAGAGACCGGGCGCCAGCTGGCCCAGTCGAGCAAGCAATTAGGGTGAAGGTAGGTGTTCAATCACAGGCGACGTGCGCGTGCTCGTGTGCTAACTGGTGTTCCCGCATCCATATCCATGACCATCGACATCGACATCCACCCTTGCGCTGACACTGATCTTCAACACCCCGCGTCTGCGCTTACGTCGAGCAGCTCTCCGAAATCTTGCATCCCGAGCGGCTCGACATCACGAACGACTCATGGCAACATCGACATCATGCACCCATGAGGACCGCAGGGGGTGGTAACGGAGAGACTCGTACGTCTGCATCCTGCCCCGGCTACGACTACCTTGTCGTGTGGCGGTCATTCCCACGCTCTCGGTCTCACCCTGTCTTACCTTCCTGTTGTTGGTCGTCTGCAGATTTCACCGTCCATGTGGTGTCAGAACAGTTCCACGGCAAGGTAATCTCGATGTCAGTTTTCTCATGCCTCGGGGCCGTCGTACTGACAAGGTGTCACCGTTGCGTTGGGTGGCTCTCCAACACTTGCAGAGTACGATGCAGAGGCATAGGATGATCTACGCCGCACTTGCGGACGAGTTCGCTGCAGGCCTCCATGCGTTGTCCCTCAAGACCAAGACGCCGTCAGAAGTGCAGTCGGCCGAGCAGGCGTAAGCGGTGCTGGCATCTGCAGAGGGCGATGTACTTGTTAATTCTTGCCTTCTGCTGTCGTGTTCCTTCTATCGCCCATTGGACATCCTCCTCGTCAATTGAGCAGCTCGGTTACTCAACCTTCCTGGAGTAGAGCGCCCTGATCAACAGGCTTTTTCGTGGATACACCAGAATACAGACCTCTCCTGTATTGTCATAGCAGCACTAGCCATGTGCTCCAGAACTGCATTGCCCTCTCTGTGGCGATCATGTCCGTGAGCTCTATTCTGTTTCGGATCTTAATGCCGCAGCCAGAGCTTAGCTTTGATCGCTTGCCTCTTTTTGCGTCATTAGTTGGAGTTCGTTGGTCGGAAGCATTGGTAGCGCGTGGTCCGCTCGCAGTATGCTAGGCTTTGTTCAGGTGTTTGCTTCCGGTGTCGGACAGTGGATGTGGTTCTCAAATGAGTGCGCAATTGTAAGTCACGATTCCCGAGGAGCGCCGTTTGTTTGCGGGTCAGGAACACGCAGGCCGTGTGTCGTTAGAGGTTAGGAACGTGGAGTTGCCCTGCCTACTGCTCTGTACAACGCTATTCGGAGGGTCGTCGCCTTGCATGTGAACGGATTTCCAGATGGAACGAGGATTGACATGCGATGGCCAACCTTCGCGACTGGCTGGGCGATCATGGGCTGCGCGTGTCTGGCGTTGTCGTGTTGCCCATTGAGGATGTGAACATTGGACACGGACGACGGGACAAGGGGCGCGGCTGGCCATCAGGTGACCGTCGCATTGCTTTCGCTGATCTCTGATCCTGCCTGAACGGGCTCTCGACTCTCGAGTACTGCTCAATCTCAGATTCCGTGTGGCCAGTCACCGCCGGGTCTACAATGAATTAGGCGCACCGCGTCAATCCGGCGTCAATCCCCGTCCGTTCTTCGCCGCGCGATCCCGTCGAGATCATTCACACCGCTCAGTACGCCAATACTGTCGCTTTGGCTGATCCAAGCGTGGCTGAAGCTCATCCGGCTTCACACTGGCTGCCCGGGACGTTGCAAAAGCGGAGGCTCGGAGTTGTTCTGACCTGTCGGCATCCTCCCCCGTGTGTCCACTCGTTCGCGACTGTCATCACACCCGTTGTCGAGGTCATCCCAGATACATGGAGACCGCGTCGGCACAGTCGCAGTGGCCCAGCGAGGAAGCATTGCAGCATTCGTACAGGTCTCGAGATTCATCCCCCGATCGAGAAACCGGCGTACGTGGAAATCCACAATCGCGATCCACTGACTCGGTCCTCCTTCGGCTGTGGCGGGAAGGTCCCTTCTCCAACTGTTCGTCGCCCGAGCAGTATATAGCAGAATGCTGGTCTCGACTGTCCTGGCCACTTTTCTCCTCCGATCCTTTCTTTCCCCCCATTAACAAGGTCCAGCGTTCGTGCCAATGCCGTCTCGCCCATCATCTTCAAGTGACGCTACCTCTGGACGAGGCGAGCAACGGCCGACGCTGCCGCCTATCCGACAGATATTTGGACGTAAGTGCACAGTAGCTCCTGCAGATTGTGACGTTCCTAACATGCTCACCACGCTGTTCTCCAGAGGAGTTGTCACGATCTGTTCCTCCCCACCAGACACGCCAACCCGCCTCCCCCCACTTCAGCCGCCTCCAGCTCGCAGACGAGGACCCTCGACGAATCTCCCGCGGAGGGTCTCCCGCTCCACATGCGTACAGACCGAGCACACCACACTCGTACGGACCGGGCACACCACACTCGTACCCTGCGTATCCAGACATCCCACGCCAGTCCACTCCTTCCAATCATCCCCGAAACGCGTCCGACCCTTCCGGGTATCCCGCGTATGCTCAGAGTGTCCCGCCGCATCCCTCCGCACAAGCCTACCCCCACGGTTATTCTCCCCAATATGCGCAAACCAGTCACCCCCGCCAACCGATCCCGACAGGCAGCTATCCGTATGCCGGCTCCCAAGCAATGGGAAACCCGGGCATGGGCATGGGCATGGTTGGCCCTCCGGGTCCACAGCACCAGCCGTACCCGGGCACGGAGCCCGCTGCGACCGAGCGGAGCCCCTCGTCTCGCTACGAGTGCAGCTATTGTGGCAAGGGGTTTACTCGTCCGAGTAGCTTGAAGGTACGCCGCCTCCCCGCGATTCCGCCCGCCCCTGACGGTCATAATGGCTCACACACGCCTCTCTCCGCGCGCGCAGATTCACCTCAACACTCACACGGGAGAGAAGCGTGAGTGCCTCGTACAATCTGTTGCCCGCGATTCGTGCGCTGACGGGCGGTCTGACGGGCGCAACGACAGCATTCACATGTCCGTACGAAGGCTGTGGCCGTAGCTTCAGCGTTCAGAGCAACATGCGCCGGCATGCGCGGGTGCATACGCGCGGGTCAGAAGCGACGGGCGTCGATCTGGACGAAATGAGCGAAGGCTCGCAGGAGGAGTACCCGTCTTCGGAAGGCTCCTCGCCCAACTCGCAGAAGTCTCGCACCAAGTGAGGCGCGGCGGACCTCTGCCCAATAGGCGCCCGTCGCTACCACCGTCGTCGTCGCGCATCTCCTTCTGCCTGCTGCTACGCGCCTCTCGGTCCGCCAGCCAGTCCTCTGCATTTTGCCGCCCTCGGTCCGCCAGCGCAACCCTCATTCCAGTCCTCCGGTCTCCCTTTATCCGCGCCCTCTCATGACCGTCATATCTTGGACACCGGAAACCTATTCAGAAGATTTCAAGACTATCATTATCATTATTCGCTTCGTGTCATCTCATCACGCATTTCTTCGGATCTCCACATATTTATTTCGCTATCGTTGCACATCGCATTGTACACTACGCATTGTTGATCCAACCCTCTTCTCAACCGTTCAGTTCTTCTCATGTTTGGTTGTTTGGTCCTCTGGATCCGGAACGGAGTCTATTCCCCTTCTCTGTTTCGTCATATTTATTCAGATCTCGCACTGCCGACGACCATTTGGGATTGACTCTTTGACGTTTGAATTGTTCCTCTTCCATCCGCATCTACTGCACGGGCATCCACTTCCATTCTTGCTCGGCGCATGCAGTGCGACATATTTATTCCAGGCACGCCCGCTCACGCTCGTTCACGTCACCATCGCATCCAGCACCCACACACTCGTTCGATACTCATCGTCACCATCCTGTACACCATTTGCTCGCACGACACTCGCTCTCTATTTATTCGCGCACCTCGGAGGTTCCATTCGACCCTTGTATCATTTCCACATAACTTATTCGCACACCACCCGGACACGCGTTCCCGGATTTCCTTCCCTCCCTTCTGTGACTCGTTGTATTATCACTATCACCTCATCCTGGTCCTAGATAGCATCCGCACTGTACATCACCATCTCGTCCCCCCTGCTCTTACGTTCCATCTGCACCCGACATCTCCGTTCCATCGCACCCCTGTATCATCCGCGCATCGCATCTTGCCTACTCTTACACCCCACTACGCATACTGCGTACACACATTACTAGCTGCTTCTGGCTGGTCCTGCTGTAGAGTTATCCACATCGCACTTAGCTATATCTACCCTCGGATAGTCGCACCCTACCACACCTTACCTAACAGGTACACCTAGCTCGCACCGGCACTACTTCAAGCCGTACTTACCACCACCCCCTATTTCTCCGCACTGGCTGCGCACTAGCACTCGGTTCATTCTGGCAATGGATGCCCCACAAAACCTTCCTGTGTAGATCCTTCTGATGGGAGCTTCCGCCCGCCGGCCAGCGATCCCTGCATGGAAGAAAGTATCCAGATACCGCTGCTCTGGAGTCATGCATTACTACAGTGGGCGCGGTCAGGAACATGGATACACATGTGAAGATCTGGGCGAGCGGCCGCGGCCCTGCAGCAGCAAGGCCATGAGACGACCGAGAATATGTGGGATCGTAGGGATATCTATGTCTAGAACAACTAGTCGCTATCCGTGTCCTCGGGCTTTGGACCACCGAACGTGAGCCAGTTGAGCTTCCTGATCCTCCGTCGCTCCTCCTGTGCCTTCATTTGGTTGCGGGTAAGCTTCTTCTTTTTCTTCACAGGGGGCGTAGCCGTGCCGTTCGCCTTGTTGTCCTCGGCGCCGCTGCCAGCCGGGGTGGCAGCCACGGATGCCGCAGGTGTCTGGTTGCGTGAAAGTGCAGGCGTCTGGGTGCGGGCGGGCGTGTTGCTACCACTGCCTTTCGGGGACTTGACGGCAAATGCGTCCTCGACTACCGCTATCTTGCCCTTATGTGTCATACGGCCCCCGTCGATATGCCATATCTCGGGGCCTGGGTGGAAAGCGGTGTCAAATGTCGTGACCACTTCACCGTACAAGCGTGATACACTCACAAAGTGCAGTCACAAACTCCTCGTTGTGAGATATGATAACCTGCGAAGGACTGGCGTGAGTGACAAGGTGACTAGTGAGACGAGATAGCACATCACGCACCACTGCACCAGCCCAGTCCCGGATGGCAACGGCCAAGCCTCCGAGAGCTTCACGGTCCAGGAAATTGCTAGGTTCGTCCAACACGCAAATCTAGACGAGGAACACCGGGACGGGCGCGGTTAGCATCGCATATGCGAAGGGTAAGATCCCGATACGATTGCGACATACCTGAGGGTTGTTCCAGAGACAGGCAGCAATGACGAGCTTGATCTTCTGGCCTAAATCAGGGGGGTTTCAACCTTTGCGAGGACTGAAAACGCGATCACAACACCCACCTCCAGACAATCCTGCGATCTCGTTGTACTGTGCGATATCACCGTCCAAGCCAATGTCCTCGAGATGCTTGCGGACGATATGTGCGGAGGTATCACGCTGACCTGCTCCCTCACGTGAAGATTCTAAATCGTCGAACTGCTGGACTAGCTTTCCGAAGCCTTTCTGGAGAAGCTCCTCTCGCGGGATCCAGGTGTTGAACTTGTGGTCCAGGCCTGACCGAAATCAACACAGCACAACAGTCAGAGCACTGCTGCCGAAAGGTCATCGAACCATTTGAAACGCATACCTCTCCACTTGATCTCGTATTGTAACGACTTCTTGAGTTTCTGTCGCCCCATGATCAACTGAGCAAGAGGGTCCAAGCAGCGGTCAGTCAATGACGGCGACAGTTGATAATCATTTTGAAACGTACCTCGAGCTTGCGTCTCTGACCATTCTTTCCGACAAACTCGGTCTCAAGCAATGCCTTATCCTCGTCCGTGAGAGCACGGGTGGCCTTCTCCAAGATCTCACCTGATCAGAGCAATAGTCTTATATGATGTCTGCTTGATGATACGATTCGGTGCGACTTACGATCGTGACCGTCTTGGAAACGCCATTGGATGTATTGGATCGGGGTCTTTTCGAGGTGTCGTTCTGTGAACAGCCCATGATGGATCAAAGCATTACGAATGCACGAATGCCTGTGGATGCTCACCAATGTGATGCGTAGCATGCTGCGAGACGTAACCGATACGCAGAGCTGGATGCTTGTAGACTGTGCCTTCTTGTGGCTCTGTCTCTCCCTGTGAGAACGAGACCACAGTCAAGAAGGAGCACAGCAAAAGATAGACATGCAACGCACCGTCAGGAGCTTGACAAGCGTGGACTTTCCAGCCCCATTGGGGCCAATGATGCCGACCCGACTGGATCGGAGGTTCCCTCGTTAGGTTCACCACCGCGACAATGCGAAACGCCGGCTACGCACCTTGATAGCGACAATGCACAGCTAACGTTGAACAGACTGGGCTTCGAACGACCAGGATATGTGAAGGTGCAGTTGGTCATCTTCAGAATCGCACGGGTGTTGCTGCGGACTCCCATCAGTGAACCGGGAGGTGGGAACGAAAACTTCACGGAAGTCGCAGCGAGTGTGTAGTACGACTTTGCCTCAGGGTGTTTCTCCACAAAAGCAGACAAATTGCCAGGATAGTACACAAGCTGAGTTCATGTGTCAGTCTTCACATTCATGAAGCATGCAAATGGCCGCGCCGACCTTCTTGCTCTCATAGTGAATGATATCGGTTGTGACATTGTCTAGGAAGCTAAACGGCGGCCAATCAGTTTCAATCCAATCAGCGGCTGCGTGCCCGACATACCCAGAGTCGTGGCTGACGATAAGGCACGTAACGTTCTTCTTTCCAATAAGCCACTTCTCAAGCCATTGGACGGACGCACGATCCAGCTACATTGCACGCGTCAGCTCGTCATCATGTAACAGGTTACAAACATAAACCTACATGATTGGTGGGCTGTTGATAGACACCGCGTTCAGTAGAGGAAGTCTACGGATCCAGGGAGATCTCACCTCATCGAGCAGCAGGAGATCTGCGTTGTACAGCATTGCGCGTGCAAGCTCGAGCTTCATCTTCCATCCGCCCGATAGGCCGCCGACGACCTCCTCCTGGCGGGCATCATCGAACCCGACTTCCAGAAGCTGATCCCGGATCTTCGACCGCGGAACGTGTGCGAGTGCCTTGTCTATCACAGAGAACCTAACTCAGCCGTGTGTATTTCCAAAATCATTGCGCTCTTCAACTCACCAGCCGCGACGAAATCGAGCACCGAAAGCGACGTGTCCTCGCCTTGGAGCGAGTGCTCTACCATCACACATCGAAGCTGGTCCTGCGGCGGGAAGTTCTCCACCTTGCCGTCGCGTAGCTGACGCATGAGAGTTGACTTGCCGGAGCCGTTCGTGCCTAGGATACCGTACCTCCGGCCACGGAAGAGGCGGAGGTGCGTGTGTGAAAGAAGCAGGAGTGCGCCGTATGCGAGCGAGAAGAGTGTGTCGCACAGCAGCTCACCCTCCTCGGTGGATCCGGTTACGACACCGCCGTGCTTCTCCTGGTCGACGGCGAGGAAATGCGTGCGGACGCGCTCGGTGAACTTAGCGGCATCCGTGCTGCCTGCGGGGAACCAAGGCTCAACGTAGGTTCCGAGGGAGCGGCTCCACGCTTGCGCATCGGAGAAGTTGCGGGCGTGCACCAGATCCGCAATAATTCCGGCGGAGAACTCGAGAACCTGTTTGAGCAGGGGGTGCCGCGGAGTACGGGGTCCGTTGGGGGCGTCCGCGGAGGTCGCTGCAAGCCCCTCGGGGAGCAGAGTGAGAAGGGTACAAAGGACGTCGGTGGTCTCTGATTGCAAGTCACGCGGTGCAGGAGGAGGGCCGTCCTTGGAAGCACCCGACTTTTGCAGAGTTGTGAGTGCAGTCTCGGCAAAGGCGCGGACCTGTCGATCATGCTCAGTCCGAGACAGCGTAGAGGGAGACCAAAATCAAAGCGCACCTCAGGGAACGCAGCACCCTTGGCAATCTTCTCTACGCCCTCTACAAGAGGGCTGAGGTAGGTGGCCGCGACACTAGGGTCGCGAACAAGCTTGACTAGGTTATCAATGACGACTACAGAACGGCGCTGAACTTCCATGGAGCGGTCGTTGAGAGCACGTATCAAGAGTGGCACGAGAACAGCAAGAGCCGGCGCGGTGACCTCGGCCACAAACGTAGTGTTCGAGAGGGATTTAATGCACTGGGGCACGGAATCAGGGTTGGACATGCACTTCACGAGTGCGGGGACGTGTGGAGTGAGATCAGGGTTGGCAAGAGTATTGCAAAGGGCGGTAGCGCATTTGACGGCGGCAGTGGATACCTGAGATCAGGTCAGCTTCTGACAATTCTGGGTAAATATAACAAAGCCTCGTACCTCGGCCTTGGTATCATGCATTGCAGCCTCGATCTTGGGGATCGTGGTGCCCAGTTCGTTCGCAACGGCATCCTTCGAGGTGCTAGCAAAAGACCTTATGGCATCAAGTACCCCCACCTTCGAGCGCCATTTGGCCTTGTCCATAATGTCCTCAAGCGTCCTGAGAACGACACGGGTAGCTTCGGGAGGGAACAGCTTCAGAATGTTCTTGGTCGCCGCGGTCGCCGCAATGCGGACGACGTCGCCCTTATCCATGTAAAGGTCATAGAGGACAGACAAGGAAGGAAGGAGGAGCGGTGCAGCGGATGCACCGAGGATGGTCGCGAGAGACTGGAAAGCGATGGCAGCAGACTCGCGTTCATAGCCTGACTTTTTGTTTGTTGCAAACGCGTGGAGCGTGGAGAGAATGTTGGCATCGCTGGATATATGCGAATCAGCTTCACCATTCATTAGAGGACGGAGGGATAGATGATTGGTCCCATAAAACCGTCTCATTAAACCCAGGTTATCGCTGTTTTCCGTGCCGCATCAAGCTGAATGATAGTGCGTAAAGTATAGTCGACATGATAGAGGAGTAAGAGAATACAAGTCTGTGCGACTCTGGGGTGATCTTGGGGAGCGGCCAATGCAGATAGCATGAAAGCACTTCGACTCTCAATATTGTATCTCCTCTACTCGCGCCCTTGGTTCTTATCATCGCCCTCATATCTGCGGTACCACACACTAGATGGTGCTCATGCATGGGAGTGCACCAATTGGAGCTTCCAGGAACATTCTTTGTGCATATCCTTGCTCCATGCTATGCTTTCCAAGCCCATAACCTTGGGTCCAATCCCGCTGCGACAAGAGACAACGGAACCATGCTCACCTGAGCGAATCTAGGCCAACATTGGAGACCTCGCGGGCAAGGCGGTCGGAAGCGGCCTTTGCATCTGTCAAGCCGACGGTTCCAGTAGCTGAAATGCAGCGGAGGGTGCGCATTACTCACCTGGGCCAGTTGGCGCAGTGCGGAGCGCATCTAGGAAGGGCGCAAAATGGGAATCCGAGGCTACAGACATGGCGACAGGAGACATGATTGCAAGTACAAGTGATACAGTTGCAGAGCCCGAAGCAAGGTTCTATGCGAGACGGTCGAGATTAATGGAGTCTGGTAGAGTGCGTTTGTCGTGGTATGTTGCCCTCGATAGTCAAGTCTAAGCGTGAATCAGCAAAAGATATCTAGAAAGAAGATAGAGGCGGTGTAGAAAGCGCTGCTCCCTGCACGATGCAGGCGGGCGTGGTGGACGGTGCTGAAGAGCTTGAAAAAACAAAATTCTGCAGCACATCGACCAGTGCTCCTGCCCGATTTGGTAGGTCCCAGGTAACGCTGCCGCAAAACCGGCATTCATAATCAGCCAGCGTTCGCCTTCCTTCGCTCTCATAGGTGTCTTTATCTCCGCGCTCGCACTCTACCACAGCAGACCGCAATGAGTCTGACATATCTGTGGCTCCGTCTGGCTGTAGTTGACCTCCGCGGAACGCTGAACTGCGTAGGCCGAAGTAGAGAGAGTCAGGTACTCATTCAATGTGAAGTGTTCGCCTAGTCCTTATAGAACCGCTTGCCTCCTACAGCCCTCTTCATCAGGCAAGAATAGCTGCTGTCTTTCCTTCTAGATGAGGGCAGCGATTAAAGACTCATAAGTCCCTGCCACCGCGAGTGCTTCAATATCGCCACATGAGTATCTAGGTGCGGTTCCGCCAGTCGTAGACATGCCTCCAACGCAACAAGTCGGCAGTAGGCGGGGCCGACGCATCGCTTGACGAGGACATCCATCACATTGTTGTTGCTAATTTTAGCTGGCCAGCGGGGAAGGGTGCCGCCTCTGTGTCCTACACTCACCGCCCAAGTGTCGCATGCAGGTGTTATGACTTTGCGCAATCGCACACCAACTTTCTGGTTCTAGCATCTGATCTCGAGACATCTCAGCTATTCTGCTATGCCTTTGCCACGACCCCTCCTTATCTGGACCTGAGCGCATGGCCTGCGGGTTAGGCGGTACCTTGATGCATGATCACAGAGCTGGTAGCCCCGCGACCGCGGCCGTGCGAAGTCGGCGAGATTCCGCGAGCGAGCCATCGCCGTCAACTGCGAAGATCACTCTCGTCGTGCAGCGTCGCGACCATGTGGCGTCCCAATGGGTTTCACCCGTAATCCCCGCTGTCACCCGTGGCTATTGCGGTCTTAGTGCCCAGATATATGAAGGTGTCGGCCTAACGTGTCCTGCTTTCGTTTGGTTCTCCCATTCCCCTCCCGAGCGGTTGCAGACCTCTCGGTGAAGATCGACCCCGCGCCCTCCCTTCGCGCCGACAACACTATGTCGTCCTCGGGCAGCAGTACGCATGTGAGTGTTTCGACGTTCGTTGCGCATAGGAGAGTAAGACTTACGCCTGTGCAGACGTTCGCGAAGAGAGATGTAGGGCTCACACCACCGCTCATCGCAGGCATCGTCGTGGTTGTGGTAGGCTTAAACCTCATCATCGCCATTTCGTGGTGCATCCTGAAGGACCGGAAGAAACTGAAGAAGGCTAAGTTGCATAAACGCCGCATCTCGGGTCCGGTGGACGTGGAGATGTACGAAAACAGCGCCGCCTTCGCGATCTCTACAGGTGCGAATCCCGTCGCAGTCACGCTGAAGACGAAGGGCGGCGCGCGCGGAGTTCCTTCCGAAGGGGTTTCATACTATGAGCTCATCCGCTCTGTGCAACAACCGGCTCATCAGTCCCAAACCTCGCTTGCGCCATCGTCCAAACGCTCCTCCAATAGGTCCTCCCCGGACAGCGCGAAGCTGAAGCAGTTCATCCTCCGGCCGCAGGACATGAAACATCTTGGTGGAGTACCCTACTACCCGAAGACGAAGCAAGGGCACGGAACGCGTCCGAGCGTCACCCTTGGCGTTCCAACAACCGGAGGCCTAACGCGGGCCAACTCGCTGAGTGCGGACACAGCGAGTATCTACTCTTCAGCATCCGCGCCGCTAGAGCAGCACGAGCGCTTCATCCGGTCGCAGCCGTTCGCGCTGCAGCTGGAGACGATCCCTGCAAGTGCGCCAGCGTGGATGACTGAGATGCCCAAACCACCTGCGCCTGCTATCGTCACCGACACGACTCCGGTGAAGCTCGAGATTTGCATTCCTTCTCCTACGGCATCGACCTCAGGGAGCTCTGAGAGCACGACCTTCATGCGTCATGAGGGTAGCAGCAGTCGCACATCGTCCGCTTTACCCTCCCCTATCTCCATGCCAAACTCCTCCATGCCGTCCTTAATCCGCGCCCGCACCAACTCCAACCCCTCTGCGCCTCCGCAGATACGGTGGCTGACCAAGAATGCGACCCAGGACGCCGCCAGAGACACCGCCCCCTCCCCAGCACCCTCCAGGAGGCCGAATTCGATCTCCTCGCTTTCTACGATCTTCTCGCTCCGTGAGATTCAACGCTTGCCCACAGCACCGATGTTCGCCGTCGCACCCCTCAATGTCCGTCGACAGTCCAATAGCTCTAGATGGGGCTCTGTTGACATGACGCGCGGCGGCGCCCCTACATCCCAGACGGCGCAGCCAAGTGTAGCCCCTGCGGTGCCGAAGAGGTCACCCTTCCGACCGACCCCCTCGGCCTCGGCCGAGCATTTGCCCCGATGATCTTGAGCTCGGTGACCTTCTCGCCATCTCGCCCCATCCCTCCCAGCTGAGACAGCGCATGATACGCATACTCGAGCCCCAATGATTGATCGATCATTGGCACATACACCTCTTGACTTCGAGTTTTGTGCTGTACTCTGGTTATATGGCAGTCTGTACGTGCTCCACCCCACGGATGACGATCGCCCTGATGCTCCCTAGCTATCGTTTGGATTGTACCATTAGCGTGTACTGTGGTCTCAATGTGTACTGATTCTCGTAACAGAACAGAACTTGCCGTCGGCTCGTGTACGATACTGCTGGATGTATCATGTGGTCATGTGCCCCCCTCGTTGTCCAGGCCGGCACTGCAGGTTCTCGACATCATTCTTGTTGATCTGCCCGTACGAACATTGTGTTTCCGGTTCGTCCCTCCTTGTTGCTATCTGTTGATACCTCCTTGGAGCTTGTAGTTGCCATCCGCTCTTACAACAGGAAGCGGTTTGTAGTCATATTCTACGGTGAGCCGGTGTCACTGCCGAGAAGAAGCATTAGGCTATCTTCACTAGAGCCCATCGAAGACGCTGCTCTAGAAGTGTCGTTACTCCACAGAGCCTTCTAAACATGTACAAAAGAACCGTTGAATGGCACCAGTACTGATCTTTGGTATGCGTAATGGCGCCAACTCGACCTTTTGTGCGTCTTCTCGAGCAATTCCCGGCCTGATAATAGTAAGCGCCCCTCCACGATTCCTCCGGCTATGTACTTATCACCGTCATGGAGTACGTACGACTGACTCAGTCTCTTCCATAGATTGCCGTCCGTTGTTTGAAGATCGACCATTGGTCGAAAGAATCACCCGGCCCGCGCTTCGAGCGTTGCATTTCCCCCCTGTGGACGTTCCACCCGAATCGGTTTTACTCGGACTCTCTTCTTGTGGGGCGCCCCCATATCGTGCTTTCTACATGCTGCTGTCGGGAAATGATACGAGGATATCTTTGGTTTCGCTTGAGGAGTTCCGCAGCGCTCGGTTGTCCGATGCCCCTTATAAGTTCTGCCAGGAAGGCGCACGAATTCCCCGGCGAACCACATGAAGAAACCCTCAAGCAGCGTGGTGGACCAGGAAGCGCGACAAGGCTCCACCAGATCCTCCATTGCTTCCGTTCACGACCACACACTTCCCACCCTTGTGGATCAGGGGCTGGGAAGCAAGATCGAATCGGACAAGGCTGACTTCCCCGATATTCCTAGTGACCTGGCAGACGAGTCTACGTACATCGTGGACTGGGATGGACCCGACGATCCGCAGAACCCGAGAAAGTACGTCTTGGGTGGCCCATAGGTCTCGAGACGTCCAACCCTGACTTTGCGTGTTGTAGTTGGGCATTTGGCAAGAAATGGGCCATCACTACTATGGTCTCCGCCTACGTCTTTATAAGCCCTGTCTCGTCTTCGATGATGGCCCCGACCAGTCATCGCATCGCCGCCCAATTTGGCGTTACCAACGAAACCGTCGTTGCTTTGCTAACATCGATGTTTCTTGGTGGCTATGGTTTGTCTCTCGTGTCGCCATTCACTCGTTTCTAGCTGACGAGAAGACGTGGTAGCCCCTGGACCCCTCATACTAGGCCCGATGAGCTAGGTGTTCGGTCGTCAACGGGTACTGCAGTGAGCGAACTTCTGGTATCTCGGTCCGTGTCGATCTTCTATTGACTTCAGCTGGACTCCAACTTTCCCAACGGTTCGTTTCGACAGTGTGGAATTTTGCTTGCGCATGGGCGCGGAACGAGCGGGAGCTGCTCGCGTTCCGCTTCCTGTCTGGGTCCGGGGGGAACGGACTACTGGCGGTAAGCCGGTGCATGTACTCGCTTGATCGGTGCTGACTACATATACTTCTGTGAAGATTGCCGGCGGGGTCCTCGGAGACGTGTGGAGACCCGAACAGCGAGGTCAAGCCGTCGCTGTTTATACTCTGGCGCCTTTGTTGGGTCCAGTCGTTGGCCCTATATGCGTTGCCTGGATCGCAACAAAAGGAGATTGGAGATGGGTTGTAAGTCCAACGTCCTTTCTGCACGACATCAGAAAAACCTGCGCAGGTCTTAGAGTGCCGAGTAAAACCTTTCAAAGCTCTAAGAGCTGCCTTGTAAGGGAATTTATAGGCGTCTACGCACCGCCACCCGTTAGCGCGCAATACCTGTAAGAACTCGCCTGAGAGGTCGGATTGTGTCACCGACACCAGGTGCACAAAGCGTCCAAAAGCCCCCAGAGCTCTCATGCAGGATTGCGAGTAGCCAGGGATGCTCCCTATCTGATTTGAAGGAGAACAGATGCCGGAGAACTGCAGGATGCAGAGCGCAAGTTGGCGGGAGGTGCTATTTAAGAGTTTTCAGCACTCAGAGATTGTCGGTTTTACTGATGGAGTCCCTGGTAGAAGGAGATCCGTTCTGTCCAGTTCTGGGCCCCGACAATCGTGGCGGTTGCGGTACAGCTTGTTGGATTGCTCGTACTTGAAGAAAGTGAGCTTATTCTGGGTGACAGGCCAAGGATGACTTCCTAGTCCTTTTTCTGATCTATCCTTGATGTAGCGTACCCCCCAGTCTTGCTTGCGAGAAAAGCAAAGCGTTTCAGGAAGGAGCTTGCCGACTCAGAGAAAGGTGACCGTCATCCAAGAGTCCGTACTGTCTTTGACGGCGCGGATAGAAAGTGGGCCTTGCAATCTGTGCATCCAGTGCACTGTTTCTTATCCCTCTCACGTTTCCAGGTGGAAGAGCATCGTCCAGAAGGCACTCATTCGTCCATTTATGCTCTTCTTCCGAGAGCCTATCATTCAGCTTTTGCGCTCCTACATGGCGTTTATCTACGGGACTTTATACCGTGCGTACACATTCGTCAGATGGCCAACGAGCTCATTACTCATCGGATTTTCATAGTCTTTCTCACTACGATACCATTGATCTTCCAGGGAATCTACCAAGAGTCGCTTGGCATCGCAGGCCTCAACTATATCACCCTTGGCATCGGGCTCTCCAGAGTATCTCAAATCAGTGCACGATTACTAGACGTCGTTTATATGCGCTTGGCGAAGAAAAATGGGGGTGTAGGAAAGCCCGAATATCGTTTGCGTGAGCCCCAACATGCAACACACCACTTGCGTCCATTTTGCTGACTGGACACGAACTCCTAGTATTCAAGTTTCCCGGGATGATTCTCCTCCCAACAGGACTGCTAATAACTGGCTGGACGGCTCGCGCATCCGTGCATTGGATAGTCCCAGATATCGGTATCGTCCTCGTCGGCGCTGGGATGATCCTCAACTTCCAGTCCATTCAAATATACATTATCGACGCCTTCACGCTTCACGCCGCATCAGGTACGTTGGTCACGTATCTGACTATTGCTGTCCGATGTCGCAATCACCTAACTGTTGGTGTCTCCTCGTTAGCTATCGCCGCCGTGACGTTCTTCCGATCTGTGGCGGCGTGCGTATTCCCGCTGTTCGCTCCTGCGATGTACAACGCTCTGGGTTATGGAAAGGGAAACACCATCCTGGCGAGCGCTGCTATCGCAATTGGTGCTCCGTCGTACGTACCGTTCTTACCTCTGACATATGATGTTCTAAATCCGCCTTTCGGAAGACCTATTCTTTTCTGGCTCTACGGGGAACGGATACGGAAAGCAAGTCGCTACGCAAAGCATGCTTAGAATGTGAATGAACCACATGTTACAATGCACGCATCGATCAGACATCCACTTGCTATCTCATTTTGACACTGATGATCCCACTGCGGCTGCTTGTATCACCAAATCCTGGGTTATACAGAACACACTGGCGGTGTCGTGACAAGGCCAGCAGATGTTCGCCACCGCCACAAGGGCGATGATATCTGCTCGCTCTTGGTTCTTCTACATCAGCCGCATCTGCGCGAAGTGTCGGCAACATGCACAATCGATTGATCACCGTCCGGAGCGATTCCGGCTACACATTTTTGTGCACGTTCGTCTGAGCGAGAACATAACGGACGCTCCACAGGATGTTGCCCAACTCACGGGCAAAACATTCTAGAGGTGGCGCACAGCTCGCCTCTGGAATTGACCACGACTCGGAGAGGCAGGAAGAAGGCAAGAGTCACTCGGGATTAACATGCCGCGTGGAGCTCGCCGGCAGATGAGACGGGGAAGAAGTCAAACTAGCCATGCTTCCCGAGCTGCGGTGCGGCATATGCCTGTAAGTGCAACGTCCTTGCGCAAGGGCAAGAGGGTGCATACCGGTGGCCATTTTAATTGTACAGACAACTTGCTGGCCACAATCACTGAGTTGAATGACCGTTGACGGACAATAGCGAGACGGAACGGAAAGTGCGCCGAGGAGGGCGCTCCGGGCTCGGTTAGCGTCGGTTGAGGTGTCTGACGCCCATTGCGAAGGCTCTGTTGGCTCGGCGTGATCGTTTCGAAGTCCGCGTACAAGGTATAGAAAAGGCCTCAAGGGCTCAACTGGTCCTTCCAGGACGACGACATCGTCAACCACCCTCTGTCCCTTCCCCTCCCTCTCCTTTCCGTTCCCTGTCCCTATCCAGACCAGTCGGTGGTAGTTTCTGCCCGTCTTCTGTCCTTACGATCCCCGTCCCCCCGAACTCCGATCACGATGTTCACTTCCCTGTCGCTCTTTGCTTTCGCTGTCGCGCTCGTTGCGCCCTCCACTGTGAACGCACATGGTTATGTTCACAGCATTGAAGCAGGTGGCAAGAACTATTCCGGGTGGCTTCCATTCACCGACCCGTGAGTGCCGATCTGGTTACGGAGTTTAAGGAGCGGCTACTGAATCACACGAGGCAGTTACGAGTCGCCTGTCCCTAAGCGCATCGTTAGGAAGGTTCCCGATGACGGTCCCAGTATGTGATGACGTCAACAAGGGATTGTAGGCTCGGTTTTAACTTTGGACCCAGTTCTTGACGTGACCTCGTCGGACATCGCATGCAACAAGGGCGGCGAGTCTCCCGCGGGTCTCGTCGCCACTGCCGCTGCTGGAAGCAAAATTGTCTTTGACTGGCTGTCTGTGCGTGTTTTGATGTCGGAATCGGTCAAGGAGAATAAAGCTCAAGACACTAATCGCTCGCTGTCGTAGTGGCCTGCTGATCACTTGGGCCCGGTCTCCACTTACATGACTTCCTGCGATGGCCCTTGCACCAGTTTTGACGCTTCCAACGCCAAATGGTTCAAGATCGATGCTGCCGGTTACTCTAACGGCAAGTGGGCTTCCGCGCAGCTCATCGACAACGGCTTCCAGTGGACCAGCACTATTCCCAGCGGCCTCAAGCCCGGTGACTACGTGAGTAGCCGCTGAGTACTGTGTGACGACTGCAGTACGAATGATTACCATTTTGTAGTTGATCCGCAACGAAATGTAAGCATCGAGTTTGTCTTGACTCCTGAATGATGGTCCGCTGAACGGCGTGCAGTATCGCCCTTCACGACGCCAACCAGCCTCAGTTCTACCCCAGTTGCGCGTGAGTATCATAGCTAGCTACACCCCCAAGTCGACTGACTGATGGATCCTTCCCAGTCAGCTCTCCGTGACTGGCAGTGGTACCCAGACTCCCTCCGGCTCGGAGTTGGTTTCGATTCCTGGAGTCTACAACAATGTGAAGTTCCCCGATATTTGGTCCGACAGCTTCAAGAGCTTCACCATTCCTGGCCCCGCTCCTGCCTTCTCCGGATCGGGGAGTGGCTCCGGGGCCAGCGGCCCTGCCCCCTCGTCCACGAAGTCCTCCGCGACTGCTTCCTCCACTCACGTTACCTCCGCTGCCGCTTCCTCCGCGGAGGCTTCCACCTCGGCGAGGTCGGCTCACGTTTCGACGTCTGTCCATACATCTGCTACAGATTCTGTGACGTCTTCGATCGCTACTTCCTCGGCCTCCGCGTCGACTGGCCGGTGCAAGTCGAAGGCTCGCCGTAGCATGGTCAAGCGCCATGTCTCTCACCTCGCCAAGAGGCACCATTGATTTCCTTCTTTTCTCCCATGTGTAAGCTGCTGTGTTGTCCTGTCTGTTTGGAATATTCTCTGGAGTGTGTCTGACTTCGGCGATTGGTTGTCCAGGCTCTTGGCTTATCCGGGATCTCGATTTGCTTTTGAGAAGCACTGGATTACGGGATCTCAATCGATGGCGATGGATGGGTAGACTCCTTTCCTCACCTCGCACTCATGACCGCCCAAGCGTCGGCCCTGTATATTGTTAAGCATTCTCGCTCCTCCGTTTATACCGTCCGCATGCTATGTAAACCCGATGCCTGCTTGCACGCACCACATGATTGTACAGGAATACAACGCTCTCCGATGTTCGCTGTCTCCACTTAACCTTGTGCCTCACCTCGCCCGTGCGACCGGTGTGGTTCAAACAAATTTTGAGAGAAGTGTGACCGGAGCCTCGAGGCGAGGTACACATATCCACATGGCCGAAGCTCGCAGGACCGCGCGCCCACGTGCAGAGGCGCACGCAGATCGGCGACTTGAAGCTCGACGAGACGCCGCGCGCCGTGTGCCACCCCAGGCTCCCTGTCACCGTCCGAAAGCCTCGCCGCGGCGCGATGCGCTCGATGCTAACGCATCATCTGTGTCGCATCCGGCGTTTTACTGGCATACACATGCTTCCGTGAAGGGCTCTTCGACGACGTTAGGCCGCACGCTAAGCGTGCTCTCCGAGCCTTCTCGGTGCGGGGTGCCCCACGCATTGGCTGGCACCCAAGCGGCCGGGGTCTAGCGCCAACAGGGGGCTCGAGAACAACAGATTCAGAGGCGGAGATCTGGCCTCGTAGATTTGCATGCGTTGGCGGTGGTCTGGCGGTACTTACCTAGCTGGCCTGACCGCGTGTCCGGTGTCCGCGGACCTTGGGACGGGTGACGGCGCGAGCGAAGAAGCGTACTTTTAGCGTTTATGCCCCGGCCACGTGGGATGAGGGCGACGCCGGCGGCGGCTCTAGTGCGACCGTCGATGGGGGTCGACGGTGTCGAATGGGAAGAGGATACGGCGTCCGCGAGGGACTGAGAGGCACTATCACTGCGAGGCGATGTAGAGCTATCACTGGAAGAGGCCCACGCACCCGACACCCGACACGCTCGACAAGTGGAGCCTCGAGGCTTGGTCCTCAGGGGCCCGAAGAAGTAGAGATCAACACCGATGTCAGGTTGTTTCTAGGCTATGTGGTAATGGTAGTGAGCGGGCGAGTCCAAGACAGGTACCAGAAGACCCCGAACGCGAGCGCATAAACATATTACATAGAATAGTAGACTGATAATATACTGAAGGGAGGAAGGGACAGAAGTACGGAAGCAACTAGAGTAGTGAGGTAATCATATAGATGATAAGTCAAGAATGGCGGATGTGGCGATTCATGTACATAATAATGCAGTAAGGCCGATGCGAAGTGGTACGTATAGATGGATGATACAGTGTGTGGGAGAGAAGGCGAAGAGTGCGGTATTGGAAACGTGATGGGCGAGATGGACGAGATAGATGCGATGCAATGACGATGGTGAGAGGCCGAGGCGGAGGGTACTGACGGGTGAGAGCGGCGAATCCGATGGCGTGCGATAACGACGAGGGAACGTAACGGAGGACTGTCCTGGCTGGAAAGTCACTGCGGGGCGAGGTCCTTACATAAATACACGATCTTGCAACGTGGAAGATCAATGCAAATAACGGGGCGCGAACGGGAGGCGTTGGAAACGGGCCTTTGGTAAGAGGCGGACTCGGACGAAACGGGAGCAGAACGGCCGGGACCGATGACGGTGAAAATGACGGAGCGCAGGTCGCGGGATGCCCATGGCGTCCGGAGGCGGCCAGAATGGACGGAGGGGAGGAAGGGGCGTGAGGTGAGGACGTGGCCACACGGACGTGTGGCCCGGTACGCGAGGGCGAGGTGCGATGGGACCGCGATTAGAACGGAGGAGGGGAGAATCGCCGGACATCGTGTCTGTGCGGGTCTTCCTCGTGGCTCCTCCGATGGGAAGACGGGCTTGGTGATGGGTTTAAGCGGCCTACAGCGGTGTGCATGCCACCCATGTCGCTCGAAGGGCGCGGTGTTCTGTACCCTACCTGACTCGCGCTCGATGCGCCAGTCATCGAGCTCGGGTACCCTTGGGATTGCGGGGCTGGTGTGGTGGAGGTAGAGGTGGAGTGAGTTGATACCGGGTATGGCTGGCTTGTCGTTGGCGGTGCGCTGGCCGCCGCCTGGCGCGAGCTCTGGCGCATCGCCTGCCGCTTGTTCTGGAACCTGCCATGACGGGGACGTCATGGAGAGTGAGGGATCACCAGTCAGTTAGGCGATTGTCGTGCGAGGCACAAACGTAAGAAGAGAGTGAGAGTTGGAGACGCACCATATTTGAACGCTGCGCGCCGACATCCCCAGCTTCTTGGCGAGCTCAATACGCTCCTCCGTCGAGGGGAACGCTGTTCGGTTGTAGGTCTCGTTGAGAACCTTGAGTTGCTCGGCATCCGCCCGCTTACGTTTCTTCTTCACGGGCTCTACCGGAGGCTCGGGGACGTGGGGAGCGGCGGAGGGGACGCGTGGGTAAGGAGAAGCTCCGTGCCCGCCAGGACGCATAGGATTTGACCTCTCGACGAGGGAGCCACGTCGATGACCGAGACCTGATGACGCGTCGTATGGGTTCATGGCAGGGATGGGTGGGGGTAGTTGGCGAGGATCGGGGGCAGTGGGGTAGCCGTAAGGATTGGGCTGTTGCTGAGGATAGGGAGCGTAGGTTGGATAGCCACCAGTCGGTGAGCGAACTTGGGTAGCAGGCGCCATAGGGATATGTGGGGGCATCTGCGATTGACCCATATTAAGAGGAGGTAATATACGCGAATCGTGCGGGGCTCCGATCATGTTCGGCGATGAGCGAGACGGATATGAGCCGTACGCGGCCTGTTGTTGAGTCTGGTATCGGGGATCAGGAGAGAAGGGGACGGCCTGCTGGTGTGCTTGAACTGCACGCCGGATAAATGAAAGGGCGAGGCGCCGTCAGTGACGGGAAGGAACGAAGGAAGGGCATGATTACCTTGATTAGTCTGCCAACCTTGTTGACTAAAGTGTGCTATGCTCGGATCGGTGTGCGTCTGCGTGGGATCTTGCTGGGGGATTTGGGAAGATAGTGAAGAGTCAGGCGCTGCATTGAAGAGAGATGGATTGAGTTCATTCATACGGTATAAGGTACTCCGAAGGAGAACAGACCTGGAGAACGTGAGGTTCGAAACGGAAGATGAAGAGGAGGCAACACAGTTCGCCCACCCTGTCCGAGATGAAATAGTCCGCGTCGCGGATTGTTATTGTTGTTGTTGTTGCCGCCTGTTGGTGTACCTCTTCGGCTTGCTCGAGGGAAACAACCGTAATGAAAGTGGTCGTCGGGGAAAGATTGCTGGTTCGACATTGAATAGAAGGATCGAAAATAAAGAAGCGGGAGTGAATGGGATCGTCGGACAGTTCTGTCAGCTCTGGAATATGTACTTGAAGACCAGGCGATGAGGGAAGCGCATGCCCTCTGCGCAAGGCGACACTGGATTGTGCGAGGGCAGACACCACACACACTCGGAAGCGGACTCAGACTCGCCGGCAAATGTTAGGTGACGCATGTAGCTCGAGACAGCAGAGAGCAAGCCGTGAGTCCTCCGCCGGACCACGAGGCTGTCCTGGGCACTGGGCAGCGTACAGCAGAGACTGTTTTGCTAAATCAGCAGTCAGATCTTAGTAGCTGTAGGGAAAAAGAGGCTGTGTGGGTCGAACGTCAAGGAGGGGTGCTAGAAGGACGCGAGGAGGACGAGGTTTGCCTCGTGAAAGGATGAATAAGGAAGGGTGAGGAGACGCCGCGTTGACTTTACCCTGAAGTTCCAAGGGACCCTGCCCTGTGGACGTACACGGATATCGGAGCTGCCTCGTGTCCGCAGGCCAGCCGGTCTGCATGCTGTTTGTGGACCTTTTTTGCTGATTCCCAGGTGGTGCACCGGCCAGAGGACTCGGAGCAGGAAGCCACTCCGGATGGGCCGTCATTCCAATGGTTTCCCGATTCCGCGAAGGTCCCACTTTCATTTCCCGGCCGGTAGTTGCCCGAGCACGGCTCGATTTCGGTCTGACTCTAAGGGCTGAGACGCCTGACGTTAGAAGCAGCGAAGTGCTAACATCTGGTTGTGGAAGCCACGTCGCTTGTTTGAAAGCATTCAGAACCGCAACGAACCGAGGTAGCAAGTAGATCAGACAGGCAACAACAAAAGAGTTGACTTAAACGGAGGACGTGTAGAGTCAGGTGACAGATCTGTTAAGATCGATCGGGGCTGGAATTCGGTCGTGCGGTTTCAGGCAACCCAAAAGATAACCTTTGGACAGATGCCTGGACGAAGCCGTGGCATGCGCGAGATTGTGGGCTAAGCGGGACGCGGACCACAGTACTTGCGCGCCTGGAGACCTCTAGGAATTGTGATCGGTGACAGTAGAAGCGGCGTGGCTACGGGCGAGATATGGTGTGTGGCAGCCTGTGCAGACTGCAGAGCACAAGAACTGGCTTGACGGACGCATTGCGCTGGCTAGGGCTCGAGCTCTATGAGGGTTGGACAATGTAGACAGGGAGAAGTGACTGGCAGCTATGTAGCAGTAAAGGCACCAGTGGTGCGGTACGGGATGGGTGTGACCCGTCGCTGTCACAGCAGGGGAAGACTGCCGGATATGGGTAGTCGCGGTCCGACAGGGCGAGAAGTGACGGAATGGATTAGCGGGACCTGGCCGCGCTTTCGGTCTCCTCCGTCGCTGCAGACCGCGACAAGCTCATTCACCATGACCTCGCCGCGCCGCCCGCTCCCTACGCCTCCCGTCAGTCCAGGCCGCAACAACTGGGAGGGCTTTTACCCCAGTCCTGGCCTTCCGGGCGACTTCCCGGATATGTATCCCTACGGAATGCCCTACATGTCTCCGTATCCCTACCATCCAAATCTATCTCCTCCACATCCGACTACGCCTGAATATGAAGTCCCTTCGGCAACGCTACGTGGGGGCACGCTCCTCCACAAGGGATTCTACGACCTACTCTCTCTAATCCCGTCGATCCCTAGCACTCCTCCGTCTCGGCTGTTTTGGCCCGCACATTCTCAGAGCCCCGAGAATGATCTCATTCCTGGTCCAAGGTACGAGGAGATCCCAGGCAACGGTGCGCCGAAACCGCCTCTACCACCAGCTCCGCCCGCCGCGTCCCCCGCGCCAAGGAATCTAAAGACACGGAAGATCAGCAAGGACATGGTATCGAAGCCGACAGGATTCATGTATGTATATTACACATGCTACACTTGCATCAAATGAAACAGCAATGCCGACATCATCACAGCCATCTGGTCCACGCATCTGACGCTGGTCAGGCTGAAGCACTTCTTACGCGCTGGGGTCCGGAAGGTCAGGGTAAATTGGGAGGTCCGTGTGTCAAGAATTAGATGGTCCTGCCCACTCTCATTCTCTCTGTGTCATCCAGACCCTCGCTGGGCCGATCCCATTAAAGACAAGATCAGGCAGATGAACCAAGCCAGAGCGATCAATGAGGTTGTCAGCGCCCTCAAGGATATTCCAATTAGCTCAGGAGGGGGTGACGCGCCCAAGCTACCACCGCTCCGAGTGGTCAACGGCATAAGCACGCCAACCACTTCCTCTATCCTTACGACAGCTGCGCGAGAGAATGTCTCTCTGTCCCCCCTGTCTCCGACCTTCCAGCCACAGATGTCGCAGCCGCAGGCGCCGGCCCCATCAGCCCAGGCTTTACCCATTCTCGGACAACCAGGAAACTCGACGATTCGTTGGACCGCTGGCCTACCGGCGCATCCCGAGAACGACCAAGAGGATGCAGCCGCTATGGATTCAGACCACGAGTATCCGGAGATACCGACGCCGCGATTCAGAAAACCAATCACGCCGTCCTTGGCCACGCTCGAGAAAGCGGTCGCCGCCAAGATCTATTTCGAGAACCTGTACTTCCCGCTTTTACGTCAGCCGCCGTCTCGCGAACAGAGACGGCTGGCTATGGAGAAGGAAATGGCCAGCATGCAAATGAGCGAGGCACAGAAAGAGAACATCCGTCATCGCTGGAGGCAAAACGAAACTGACTATCTCCGTGAACGCCGTCGGAAAGTTGATGTCAATGCCTTCGTCAAACTCAAGACCATTGGACACGGTTCGGCTTTCATAAAATTAGGTGCGGCGAGGAGCTGATTTCTAGATGTTTTCAGGTGCCTTCGGCGTCGTCTCTCTTGTCCGCGAGCGTTCTACGAGCCAACTCTTTGCCATGAAACAGGTCACTAGTCCTTCTAACAACTATTGCCATGTCTACTTCATGAATGACATCAATCGCTAACATGACATGTTGGACAGCTTCGAAAGACCGACATGCTCCGGAAAGGTCAGGAGGGACATGTGCGTGCGGAGCGTGACCTTCTTCGGTCGGCATCGCTTGTCAGCACCCCCGGCTCTGCTGAGTGGATCGTCAAGCTCTTCTACAGTTTTCAAGATCGCGACCATCTATACTTGGTAACGGGCCGCTCCTTATCCTGCTTCCATTGTGCGTCGGGATGGACTGATTTCATTTCGATTTCATATCTGATAGGTACTCGAGTATATGGGCGGGGGAGATCTCCTTAACCTCCTGATAGAACGAGATGTTTTCGAAGAAGACTTCACTCGGTTTTATGTGGCCGAGGTTAGACTCTTCGTCCTGGTTGCCGGATAGCCCTGAATACTCACGGTTACTTTCCTCCCTTCTTCGAACTCGCACCGGTCTATTCTCCGTCGTTTCGCATGCTCTGATCGGCTCATAGATGGTGCTTGCCATAGAATCGTGCCACAAACATGGGTTCATTCACAGGGACATTAAGCCGGATGTGGGTATTGGTGCCGAGCGTTCCGTTCACTCTCCGCTTCATGACCACACGTCGGCGGATCCGGGCGGTCGACGGAAGCTAACATCGTTGGTTCCGCCGACAGAACTTTTTATTCGACCCGGAGGGACATATTAAGCTGAGCGACTTTGGCCTCGCGTGAGTCGGAAATTTCCCGATACCGCGGAGGCCGGTGCTCACAGCCTCGCGGCACATACCTTACGTCCATTACTTGATGCCAGCACTGACCTGCATTGGGCGCACGACACGTCCTGTCCGTATTTTTCGCTCCCCTATCTTTCTGCGGTTGCTTGTACTCACCACATAGCGGGAGGCAGACTACGAACAGCAACGCCTGCACCTCCTCCACAAGCACGGCATTGATCTCGAAGACAGCAATGCCCTTGGGGATGGCACGAGGACAAAGCGTTTGGATCGAAAGGAGGTGGAACGCCTGATGGGCGGTGGCGATGGTCAAGGTGGCGTCTTCACTTGGAGAGAGAAGCACCGCCGTAAGGTGCGCCTCGCTGCCTCGGTCCTCTGTTAGGTTCATCTAATCTCTGACTCGTCCTGCTGCGCAGCTGGCTTACTCTGTGTGAGTCCCCCCCCCTGATTTTGGTTTGACATGACTTTGACGTCCATCTTCGGCTTCCCCCATGACAGTTGCGGTACAAACTCGTACAGTAAGCGTTTGGGGCACCCGTATTACTAGCCCTCACGTTGATGCGACTTCCCATCACACAGTGTCTCCGGAGGTTATCAGAGGGCATGGGTACACGTTTTCCTGCGACTGGTGGAGTCTCGGAGTAATCATGTTTGAGTGTCTCTACGGGTATGCAGCCATCGGCTTGTCTCTCCGGTTGCTGACCACCCACGCTCTCGTAGCTTCCCGCCGTTCGTTAGCAACTCGGTGAGTCGCATCCGCCTCATATTCGTCGCGCGGTCATGTCATGCTCATGCCGCAATCCCCTGTCCTGCTCTGTCAATGCCGTCCTCTCCCGTAACTCTATCGTACCTGGCTACGTCGTGCGACCGATCATCGGAATGCCAGCGGCATGTCACCAGACAGAAGATCTTGAACTGGAAGCAGTCCCTCCGCTTCCCCTCGCGCCCGAGGGTTTCGCATGAAGGCGTGAACCTGATGGAGCAACTCCTGTGCGAGCCGGAGGACCGTCTCGGATCACAAGCCTCGTCCTCCGTTAGCAGACCAAACTCCATGATCATGCAAGCTCGACGCAGCGGGTTCGTCACGCCTCAAGGCACTATGGGCAGCGTGGACGGCGCACATTTGATCAAGGTTCCACTCCTCGGTCCCGCAGCTGTGTAACAACTGATATCAATCGTCCGCGCAGGCGCATCCGTGGTTCCGCGGGATAGACTGGGAGAATATTCATAGGTACCCCGCTCCATACCAGCCTGAGCTGCGCAACCCTGAGGACACCAGGCACTTCGACGATGACATCCCTTCCGAAGTGAGTGGCTAGAACCGACCGATCTTACGGCTATGGTGTCGCGCCGTAACGTCAGACGTGCTTGCTGATGGGGACTCGACCATCTAGCCTCTCGCGCCTGCGAATGGTGCTGCTGCAGACGCGACCCGGGACCCCGTGCTGCGCGATAGGACCCACGGGGAAGAAATTCTTGAGGTGCGCAAGGCCCTAGCCTTCGCTGGTTTCACGCACAAGAGCCCTCGGGTCATCAGCTACGTCCGCGCGGACAAGGCGTTCGATCCCGAGCCCGATACCTACGGTCAGGATGAGCCGGAGAGGGGCCGCTCCACGATCCGTGAGTTCCGGGACGTGGGCGCAGGCCGGGCGATGTCGCTGTGATATGCTATGGCTGCCGGCCACACTCTTGCTGCAGCGATCGCAACGCACAAGGCCCTTTGCACGAGTCACTGCGGCTGCATTTGCTGACCTATACCCCCGTGGACCACTACGTATTTATCGTTGTGGAGGATATCGATATGACTACCCAGAGAGAATGACTGCGTATGTATGTAATACCACGTCCGCTACATGTACACCACTGCTGTTCGCGATCTAGCGGTGTCTAGCTCGCTGCTGAAACAATTTCTTGGTTACACGAGTTCAAGATCTAATCTGAGGGACGGGTGCACTAGAGTATGCCACTTGTACAAAATCAACGCGTGGCAGCCGCGCGGATCAGGCTAGCGTTGTGGACCTACAAGGGGCGATGGGGACGATTGGCATGCAAGCCGGTATCTGGGTTCACTATTTCGTCAACACATGTCACAACGGTCCGGCGAGGCCACAATCAGGTAGCGCCGGCGAGCAAGGTAACGAACATGCCCATTCAGCGCCCCGTGTTGGTGACATAGTGCGGTGCGTTGCGGATTGCTCCTGAGCAAGAGGTGTGGGGATGTCGGCATAGCGCACTGCTCGGACGACGTCTGGACTAGTTGGCATTTACCACACGCCTCGTATTGGCCAGCCGTCGTTTGACTGCAGCGATATGATGTGATGTATGGCATGCGCGAGGGGTGGCGCAAAGTCTAACTCTGATCCTGCGGCAGACTGCTCGGGATGGCCGGTGCGTCCAGACGACGGTGTCCTTCTGCAGATCAGGATACGAGTACTTGGTATTCATATCGGCAATTTATGCGAGTGTACACCCCCGAATATGAATACTAGGGAAACGGTCGCCAGGGCCACCCACCTTGCGCGGACAGTCCTGGGCACGACAACGAGCAGCACGGAGACAGAAATCAGGACACGGCTGCTAGCGACGGTTGAGGATCAGCTGGAGAAGCCACGAGAGCTCACAAGCCTCAGCGCGCTGGGCCCTGGGAGGGTAATATCTACTGCCCAATTCGCTAAAAGCTATCCCACACTGCGTCATGACGAAAACACGCCCTCACCGCGTGCCGAGTTGCTGCGCCACGTCTCGCCCTTAGCATTCCGGTCCTTGAACTTCATTGCGATCGGAGAAAATGATCGAACGCGCTGCTGCAGCACCGTGCGTGTCTGCGGTGGGGCGCCTCGGTCGGTTTACGGCAGTTCGTATTGCTGATCAGGGTCGATGGAGTCCAACTTCTTCATTGCGATCTCATGCGGCTTGCGCTGAGTTGGACGTTCTGTCCTAGGTTGACATGAGGTTGCTGTCTGCTTGCTCGTCCACCTTCCTGACTCTTCGATTACCTCATGAGAGCGTAAAGGAAGGTTCACAGGTACACGTAACGCCACTCTAACTCCTATGTTTTCTCGGCCCAACTCCGGCCTCGACGGAGGTGGAGGGAAAGCACAGATCGTGAGAGAGAGATCGCGCAGGTCTGCACGGGGAGTAGGGAGATGTCTGGGTTTGAATCGGCGAGAAGGGCGATAGCGAGTCGGAGAGATAAATTCTGTCTGGAACGGCCCCGCCGGAGATGAGCGGAGATACGACGGGATCGTCTTGCATGGATCGCCGATACCGCGACCTGAATATCCGGATGGATAGGGCGTAGAGTCGATAGGCCCGACTAATTCGGATCGCGCGAGTCACTACTGACGCGAAGGTTGGCCACAGAAGACAGGGGGAGGATCCTGCCGGCAGCTGGATAAGCAGAGATCCTGCCACTAAACTTTTAGTAAATGAGATGTACCGCAAATCCGGGGGTGCGCGCGCGTACGTCTATACGGAAGCTCAATTGCACTGCGAGGTGACCGCAGTTCGCGCTGACCTGGGGAAGCCACTGTTGTGCAGGGTGTACCCAAGACGTCATGATCGACTTACCGATAGTGTCGGAGGCGTCCTAGGGCCGCCACTTGCATCCGAGTTCAGTTCATTTGCGCTCGCCGCTCCATTTATTTGATACGCGGGGACATGTGCTAGTTTTGAATGAATGTGGCCAGCTTCATGCCATAGCGCTTCATGTGTCCGGAATAGGCAACTATTCAAGAACAGATGACAGGCGCTGCGAGGATCTAACTAGAGTGCGGTCCCCCCTATCAGACTCGGAAAGGTGAAAGATGGAACCAAGTAGCACATTATGTGAAAGGTGTCTTCTTCCAGCAGACGATGCCGTACTCATTGAGTCTTAGCCGCGACGTCTTTGAAAACTAGCGTTCGAAGATACGCGCCTCAGCCGGTAGTCTTCCTCTGACTACGCACTAGCCCGGACCTTGTTCAGTGACGATTATCAGATACATATCATAGCTGAGTCCGTACGTCAGCGTGCCGTCACGAGTTATAGGATCGTGAAGGCGATCGTACCTATATATCGTACAGAACTCGTCTTTGTCCGTACCTCTTACGGCATACCAGCTCTCAGATTGTCATATTGGCTCCCTTCGTACTGCAACCAGTTGGGGCTCCGGTCCAGCTCGCCCATCGCATCTTTGACGACCGCCACGAGACTCCGCCCTGGCTGCGGGTCTTTCCCGGGCCCTGACTCCATGCCGTCGCGGGGGGAGCCCTTGTCTCCGCTTAGCTCCCAGAACATGCTGCCTCGCAACCCCTCGCGCCGTATCCACTCGCCCTTCCAGAGCCCGACCTGCTCCGAGTCGAAGCTGATCATCTCTTTCTTGTTGTAGTCGTACGTCCAGCTCGCGATCGCCTTGTCGTCCTGGAAGACGTACGAGCCTGGGAGCGGGAGCGCGCGGTAATCGTACACGCCTTGCTCCCAGCTGCCAGGCCCGAGACCATTGAAGGGAGCGCCAGGGCCCTCGGTGTTCATGAAGCTTCTCCCGTAGAGGGGGACGCCGACGACAATCTTGTCGCGTGGGACGCCCTGGCCGATGTACCAGCTGATAGCCTGAGAAGCACTGATTTGGCCACCGAAGACGTTCGCCTGGTGGCCCGCGACCTTGTCCCAGGAACCGGCTGCCAGAGAAGGTCAATTAGGCTGCAAGAATAAGCTGCGCCCGGGACCTTACGACTCACCGAAGTCGTAGGCCATCATGTTCCAGAAGTCGAGCGACTGGTCCATCTCGCGTACGTGCAGCTTCTGGTAGTTGTCAGGGCCGCAAGGAGCTGCAATCTGAGAGGTGGACGCGTCATAAGCTCGTTAGCGACTGTCTTCTGTGATCTGTGCGCAGTGCGAAGAAGCTTACTGTTAATAGGAACCTGTAATCAGCCCCTTTGCGGCTCGCGTGGGCGTCGAGCCCTGCTCTCAGTTCCTGAAGGAGGGCCACGTAACCGCGCGCTTGTTCGTCGTTCTGCGGATACTCGTAGTCGATGTCGAGCCCATCCAGTCCGTGGTCTTCTAATAGCCGAATGGCAGATGCAACAGACTTGGAGCGCAGGGCCGGGTTCACAACGACAGGGTGGAAGTTAGGGGAATAGGTCCAGCCACCGATGGATAGGATGACCTTCAGGTGGCGGTGTTGCTGCTTGAGCTTGTAGATTGCTTTGAAGTTGCCATAGAGGTTCTTGCCACTATCGTTCCAAGAATCCCCAGGGTAATGAATATCGGTATCTGCCCAGGTATCGGAAAGTACGACTTCTCCGCTATCGGACTTGACGTTGGCGAATGCGTATAGAATGTGTCTGCGGTTCAATCATGAAGTGGAGCAGAAGAATTATAGATCTTCGAACGCACGTGAGGTCGTCGACGGGAATGAGTGAAGGTGGGAACTTTCTTCCGTAGATTCCCCTGCAGAGATGGTGAGCACGAAAAGTTCACATATATATGTACTCATGGTTTATGTGGCTTCCGAGGCAGCATCCAAAGCAACGAGGCGGTTGTCTCATCCGCCACTTCTGCTGGTGTGCAAAGAGCCACATATCTTGACTCACCAGTTCACGAAGCTAGATAAAGAAACGACAATCATGAACGATGACATCATACCTGCGCAAAGGTTAGAACTCACTAGCCGACGCTGTACTTTCCAGCGGAAGACATGTCTGTGCTGTTATTTGAGGTGTTTGAAGGTGCGGTATTGTTTGTTGACGGTACGGGTGACTGGGGCTTCTCTGAGGTATCTTCTTCCGCGTGACCAGGCACTGATATCTTCTGGTCTGCGGTCCACTGGCCTGATTTATAAGCTACAAAGGAGACGGCGAGGACAGTGATCGAGAACAAGAGGATTCTACGGATTGTGATGAGACGAGATCGGACCTTTTGAGGAGACGGCGAGGGCGGCGGTGCGTCTGAGTCTGCAGGCACTGGTTCGTACGAGGACGAGCTCATCTTGCCGCTCTCGCAGCCTCGGAGCCACGAATATGGTCACTGCCAGCTCTTCTGCGGCCATTGCCGCCGACCTCATATTCACCAAGCACGTGACTTACCCCGTCGCGACGCGTTCGGGCAGTGCGTTCACTGCAACGCCTCGAACTGCGCCGCGGACGCATTTTCGTCCCGTTGCCCAGCCGGAACCCGGATACGCAGCACACAACCTTCATCGCTTAAGATATCCGCGTTGTGATTCACGGCCTTGCAGTGGCTACAATACATCAAGAAAACCTCCCCCTCGGCGTACATACTGTCCCGAAAACTGCCTCAGCACAGGCACGGCAAGTGCAAAGTCGCCGCCGAGCAGGAGCTACCCGTGGGTGTGTCGTTCCCGGTTTGGAGGTATACGTCGTAGTAGTTCGAGTCACTCGTGGCGCACGCGAGGAAATTAAGCTCCCGCGGGTCGGTCGTGATGATCGTGTCTCCCTCGAGGGCCCAGTCGGTCGTCGTCGCAACCGCGTCGAGGGTGAGCGGTATGTACGAGGTGGAAACGGTCTCGTTCAGGTTGAGGTAGAGTTTGCTCCCGTCTGCGTTGTTGAGCGAGATGGTGTTCCCGATCGTGAAGTACCCTGACGACGCCTCAGGGCCGAGGACGGGCGTCCCATCTGTAATGTGCCCGCGCAGCAGGATAGGAGTGACTGTCAGCTCTGGCTGCTCTACTACACTGACGTATGCGGAGCGCTACGCCACGGGAGGAACCGGGAGAGGGAGCAACGCAGATGCCGCACCGTTGTTCTGCAGGTAGAAATGGTACACAGGAGTCTCCACGGCGCGGATTTGGGACCCAGTTGGCGTTGCACCACTTGACGTCGTGCTGGGCGGCTGGGGGACCGTCACCGTTGTAGTAGGTGTGGTGCTGGAGCTCGGAACAGTGCTCGTCACCACGGTCCCTGGAACACACTGCGAGTAATCTGTGTGCGCATAATGCAGAGTTCAATACAACCACGCAGCGACCGTCGTTCACGGACGCGCGTCATGTCGTCAAAGCTCAAAAATTCATGGATAGATGCACGTACATTCATTTAGCTCCGTACAGACGGACCCCGCAGCGCAGGTCGTGCTCCCGGCCCTGTGCTAGCTTGTCAGACAAATGGAACTGCCAAACACACAGCGTCCGCCAAGCGGCTCCTTGATCCGCAAAAAAATGCTTGCACAATGTGCACACCAAGACGTCGGGAACTTGGGAAAGGCCCGTAAACCTACTCACCATCCCACACCACCGCACTGCCCCCAGACAGGGGACTGAGCGGAGACCCGCGCAGTGAAAAGGAAAACGCTGAAAGCAATGAGGATGCTGTAGAGCATCTTGTCAGACGTCACTGGACAGGCTCGACAAGGATCGCGCCGCGAACGTGATGTAGGGTTCCTAGATATACCTGATCGGAGTATAATTGGGAAAATCTCGTCGTTCGCAGGACCTTCGACGCGCCCACGCGAGGTTGCTCCTTTTATGAAGCGAGAAATGGCCACGTTATGATATTCGATCGCGTTCGCATGATCAATCCGCCAGGGTTTGCGACGGTCAGAAGGACAATCTGACGTCGGCGATACTAGAAGACTGCAGCGCGACGCTCGGCGAATCCGTTTATGGCCGTAACTTTACCTCAAGGATACTGGCGATCGTAGAAGACGATGTCAGCGGCGACTCGATTGACGATCGGGCGGCGAGCGGGACTCCGGACGAAGCGGGAAATGAGGTGGACCCTCTCACGAAATTACGCGTCGAGAAGTCGTGAGATACGATCGAGGAACGCGATCTGTGAATGAGCAGTGAGTAGTTGTGGGTCCAGTCGCCTGAGCTGGATAATCCGCGGTACACTAAGGGGCGTCGCGAGGCGAGAGACGTTCTTTCGAACGATTCGCGGGGACAACGGAAGTATGTAGGGCAAAGCCACTGTTAATGAACGGTTATTGTTAGTCTTAAAGTGAATGGGTCCGGCGACCATTGTAGACTGACGCACCTGGGGTTTAGCTATATGTGAATTTCTTGCCAGCGCTACCGAAAGTCCTTGGGGTGATTCGCGAAGGTGTCTCTCCACATTATGAAGGGGTATGATCCAGAAATACAATGCTCAGCTGATACATATTTTGAGACCGCGACCGTCCGTCATACTTGCCACGAAGCTTCCATAAATCAACATCGGCAACCAAGCCGTCAGCCTCTCATCTCCCTCCATATCGGCGTGAGTGCCTGAGCGACGGTATTGGCCGCGACCTCTAGGTTCCCGCGAAGCTCTTCGTCCTCGAGGCTCTTGAGCACGCCACGCGCCCGCCACCGGTCAGGATGGAACCGCTTGTGGCTCTTTTCGACGAAAACCTTGTAGTCCTGAGCACGCAAGTGACGCCGCGCGGCCTCGAAGAACGCCTCCACCGACGCCCAGTCGATGTCCTCCACTCGCAGCGTCACCGGCGAATGCAGCACGGGCCAAGGCACTGTCTCGAACTCGACCGGGTTCTCCTTGGTGAATTTCGCGGCGTCGAAGGCCTCGCAGAGCACCTTATACCGCTCAATTGCGCGGGTAGCGGTCCAGGGACCGTACGACCACCGCTCACGCTCACGACGTCTGCGCTCTTCGCGCTCGCGTTCAGCGCGGATCCGCTCGGCTTGCGCACGCTCTTCTGCTTGTGCTGCAGCGGCTGCTGCATGGCGGCGCCGCTGCTCCTCGCGAGCTGCTGCCTCGGCGGCTCGGCGGCGCTCGGCTTCTTCTCGAGCACGGCGGGCCTGCTCTTCCGCTCGCTGCTGCTGTTCGCGCTTGCAGGCTTCTTGCTCCCAGAGCGGCCTGTCCTTCTCGAGTTCCGCAAGCTTGCGCCGGGACTCTTCGATAGCTGCCCGGCGTTCAGCATCCTCGTCTATAGGCTCGGACTCCGGGGCAGCTTCCTCGGTGTTATGAGCATCTGTACCTTGAGCGTAAGAGGTCACGTCCGGGGGCAGATGGACTGTGGTGACCTACCGTCGGTCGATGGTGGAGCTTGAGACGTTTGCGAAGAAGGGGGAGTGGCCCATGGACTCTGAGCGAAGATGCCGGCCCAGATGGGTTCTCTGTGACCATTCCGGTACTCTTGTGAGGTCTGTTGATTCTGTGCCCTCCTCCTCCGTTCTCGTTCGGATGGCTTTCTGTTGGGCACGTTGTGTGAATTTTCAGGAGACTGCGTTCGTGCGCGTTTGTTCGACTTGTACTGCGTTTCGTGGTTGGGGGAGGTTTGTTCTGGTGAGTCGGGACCCGAGAAAACTATGCTTAATGTTAGCACATAGTATAACATACAAAGGACAACGCGCGTACCTTTACGCTTCGTAGCATATGGGCCGGTACCGTTGGGTGGCGGCGACAGGTCGGGAGGAGTGTTGTCTTCCATAGTGAGGTCGACAATCTCGGGTGTGGTCGGGCGATTGTGTTGTGAAGACGAGTTCATCTTCGCCTTCAGCTTCTCGCGTCGTTCCCTCGTCTTCTCTTCGCGCTCCTTGCGACGCTGCTGCCGTCGGTCTGCCCTCTTTGGAACTTTATACGGAAACTCTTCGACAACGATATCCTCGACCTCGTCTTCTTCCTCATCAGACTGTGAGATATCCTCAATCTCAGTCCCTTCTTCATCAGTGACCAGGGAGACGACAGCGCGGAAGCGCTTAGAGAGCCCGGGTGGTTGTTCGTCGACATCACCTGGGGTCGATCGACGGCGCTTCCTAGAATTGCCAGACGGAACGCCCGCATGAGAGTGCGTGTGCACATGAGCCTCGTGAGGGTCCTTGCGGCGGATCATCGTGAGCGCAGGAGGTGCGGGGATGTAGCAGTCGTAGGCGGGATCAAGCTTGTATATGTCCCATTGGTCCTCTGAGAGAACCACAGGTTCGCTACATGCGCATGCTCATGGTTAGCGTGCTACTATTCAGAGAAGCAATGAAGATGGTTGAAGACGGAAGTGACTTGTATGAAACAATGCTTGAGAGTCCACAGCAACTCGCGCAGATGGTCTCTCGACGCGCAGTGGTTCACCACCCTAAGCAGAAATGAGCTACTTACTCGCATAGGATAACCTTCCTCGGCCACACTCCCTCGTTCTCCACCCCATGAGCGCGACGCGCGCGGGGCACGAATCGCCATCTTGAACCCCTGGCGGATCCCAACGGTGGCGTTTCAATCACGATACGCTTCGGAGGCGTCTCAAAATCGGGAGCGCGTGGTTTGCGCGAGCGGGGTACACCAGTGGCTGCGAGGGGATCGAAGGACGCGAACAAGAGCGTTGAGCCCTTCTCGCGCAGGATGCGCGCTGGCTGTGTAGGATCGATGAGTCCAGGTCTGCTGCCTGTGAGGTTGCGTGGTATCGGAAGGCGGGACGGGCCCGCATTGAAGGACATCACGGTAGATGGCTATTGCGTTACACGCCCAATGCCGAGATGTGGACCTTGAAGGTGAATCCACCTAGTCGCCAAGGTTATGAGTAGTCAAGTAGATTGAGAATTCGCATGCCAGTGCGAAATGAGGGCTCGAGGTGCTGGTTGAGATGGAGAGCGGTCGATGCGAACCACGACGAGCTTGTGGTGAGCCACCGGCAATGGGCGTCTCATCAAAGATGACCTCACGTGTTGGCGTCTATGGCACACTGTGACCTGTTCTCTTCGCGCTTTTTCCTACAGTACGTCGACGTTTCCCAGCTGAGCGATGCTCTCACAGTTGACTGGCGGCCAAAAGCATGGTCTCATCTAGAATATGCCGCTGGTTATGACTTGTGAGGCCAGGCTGTGTCCCAGGTTCCGGGCGGAAGAGGCTGGGCGTGACGAGTCATGGCATCCAGTGACATATCGACAGCAATAGCACGAGCAGTTGTAGCTTCCAACTTTGACTGGTCCTGACTCGCGTTCTCCAACGCGCATATAGTCCACTTGCGGCGCCGTGGTCCCTAAGAAGCCTGGACCCCCTCATACGCATACAACACTGGCGCCATGACCAGCTTACGAACATTCCAAACCGAGATAGACGAGATATCGCACCGCGAGGTCGCGAAGCAGCGCGCCCACGCCACGGCTGAGCGGGCGAAGCTGGAGAAGGACGCGAAGAAGCCGACGGCGGCCAAAGCGCATGCGCGGAAAGAGAGCAACACGACTGAAGTAGTCGAGCCAGCACCCAAAGAGCCAATAGGGCCCGCCGGGGCTGGCAATGGAGATGCAGCGATGTCGGATATCGATGAGCAGCTCCAGGTGAGGTACCCTGACGCTTCGATTCTCCCGGACGGGTATTGATCTAGGTTGAACAATCATCGCCAACTCTTCTGATTGGCCATGCGGGGGCGCAGACGTTGTTGTTGTCGCGAATACCAGAGAACATCGAGACGGCGCGGAACCTGATCGCATCGTTACTCACACGGAACTTCGGCGAGTACGTCTTCCGAATAGGTGCGCACCCGCCGAACGCTAGGCTATTCGCTGGGCAGCCTGCGACGGAGGAGGCATCATGCCAGGGGACGCGAAGAACTGCGGAAGAGCTCGACATCATTATTGCGGAGACGACGACGGTGGTGGATGAGGTCGGAGGGAAGGTGCGTGCTCGTATGCGGTTGATGTACAATCCTCCAAAGAGCTGAAGCACATTGTAATCCAAAGACGTCGGTACTATTCGACACGAGGGCCGACTCTCCGAGGGCCGTGCTGTTGTTACGATTACCCCCGCGCGACGTCGCTTCGACGCCCGAGGTGCGGTGCGCTGTGGTGGGCAATGTGGACAGCGGGAAATCAACTACATTAGGTGTCTTGACGCGAGGTGCGCCTCCTCTCACAATCCACAAACAATCTACTCTTCCGGTACAAACCTATACCCTCATATCTCAGGCCAATTAGACGACGGTAGAGGGCGCGCACGAGTGAGTTTGTTCAGACATAAACATGAAATAGAAAGCGGGAGAACCTCGAGCGTGGGTATGGAGGTATGGCTGCAATCAACGTTCCACCTTCGCAGGAGTCCACATGAACGTCTCCCAGATTCTGGGCTTCGGACCTACCGGCAAGCCTATCTTGCCCAACACAGCCCACTCCAACGACCCTGAGGTCATCCGACACGAAAAGATGGGGTGGGAGGAAATCTCAATACAAGCCTCCAAGATCATCTCCTTCAGTGGTCCGTTCTATCGAACTGTATCCGCATATGCGCGGTGAATCATGACGGCTCCTGACGTCTAGACCTCGCTGGGCACGAGCGATATCTCAAGACCACATTATACGGCTTGACGTCAGGTTCCCCTTCTTGCGTCATCCTGATAGTCGGCGGTAACGCAGGACTCATTGGCATGTCCAAAGAGCATCTTGCTATCGCATTAGCGTTGAGCGTGCCTGTGGTGGTATGCATCACGAAGGTATGTCTAATCCTAGCCGTGGGCCCATATACTATATGAATAGCACACGTCCAACGCTAGATTGATATGACTCCGCCAAATGTGCTTGCGAAGACGGTGGAGCAAGTATCCAAGATCCTGCGCAGTCCAGGATGCAGGTTAGTTCCGCTTTCATTCGGTGCTTATGCAATACGCAGGCTGATTCTTTCCTCTTCTTCCCTCCGTCTCTTCACGTTCCCGCGATCTCAGGAAAACTCCGGTATTCGTGAAGTCGATGGAGGCTGCCGTTACGGTCGCCCAGCTGTTCGGGAAGGAGCGGTACGTAGAAGCGCTCTGTTATTGGGGCTGGAAGATCCGCGCAACTTATCCGAGGCACTGGCAGATTAGCTCCCGTATTCCAGACCTCGAACGTCACCGGGGAGGGTCTAGACTTCGTACGTCTTGCTTCGCCCTCTACGCTGGGCCCTGCAGGACCGATGTGTCTTCACAGCTGCGCACCTTTTTGAACCTACTCCCCGCCAGCGAGGGCGACCACGAGAAGTTCTTGACCGACCAACCCCTCGAGGTGCCCCCGCCTTCTTTAGGTTCCAATTTCCCGTAATCCTTTCTGATGTGCGCTGCAGTACTCGATAACAGAAGTGTACTCCGTGCCCTACGTCGGCACCGTCGTCGATGGCATCCTCAACTCGGGCACGGTCAAGTCGGGCGACGTAGTTCTCTTCGGGCCCGACTCGAACGGCAACTTCCACAACACCGTGATCAAGTCCATCGAGCGCAAGCGGTGCGTGCGATGCCTCTCGAGCGAGGTGTATGCTGAATCCACATACCAGGGCGCGGGTGGCATCCGCCGAGGCAGGACAGTGCGTGTCATTAGCGCTGAAGCGGGTGCGAAGAGCGGACATCCGGAAGGGGATGGTGCTCGTGCACAAGACCGATGCCCCGCCCAAAGGTGTGTCCTGTGCTGCGTGCGACTCCTGCTATCGCGCTTATGTCCCTGGTTAGCTGTGAGGCAGTTCGAGGGCCAGGTGCTCATTCTCTAGTGCGTATATCGCGTCTCCGCCGGGACATTCATTTCTGACGGGTGGGTCGGCAGCCACAACACTACCTTGCAGCGGAACTACCAGGCGATGCTGCACTGCGGGGTGCGTGTCTTCATGAGCGATGCATTTGTCGTGATCTGAGACTAGGCGACCACAGGCTGTGCGCCAGACGGTACGAATAGTGTCGATGGACCATCCACAGGGCATCCTGCGTACCGGGGATCGCGCGACGGTCACGTTCGAGTTCATCTCGCGGCCCGAGTTCATCAAAGAGGGCATGAAGCTACTTTTCAGAGAGGGAAAGACCAAGGCACGTTCACTCGCCTTGCCATTTCGCCGAGAGGCGCGCTGACCGATCGTTGGGAACAGGGCCTCGGGGTGATCACCCGATTGTTGTGAAAGGGGGCGAGCAGAGACCTGTTGTCGTCGGCCGTAGGACGCATACTTGCGTGCCTGTCGTTGTATTTTCGGAGTCGGAACGTCGCGACGAGGCGTTGCGTTGTATGTAGCATAATACATGTGAGTGTACTACGGAGTTCACAGACCTCATCGAGGCTGTAACCCCTACTATATCTCGATGGCCAGCAGAAGGGGTTTGGCGGACGTCTAGGAGGAAGGCTCTTCAGCCTGTTATCATGGTGCCAGCGTCCTCAGTCCTCGGGGCCTGATACGGCCGAAAACTCATCCAAGCATGCTATCCGAGGCATGGATAGGAAATGTACGACAGCATCGTGCGAGGCTGCTCGCATAGCTGTGAAGCCATCTGAGATGGTGATAACAAGTAAACTTGGAGTACGCTAGTTCACGGAATCTTGAAGGAGCCAAGAGGCTTTCGATCGCAGGAAGGGGGCTTGAAAGTACGGCTGACGCTCTATATGATACATTGCATCCACGTGACGCAATACTTTACAAGGCTTTAGCGCGAAGACGTTATGGAAATCATGTGTACGGATCGACGGCAGGCTAGGAAGATGATACATCATACAGTAGCAGACGGTGAGGGGTGCAGATACAACGATGTCACAGCGATGAAGAATCACGATCCTGGGTACGGAGCGGGGGGACAGCAAGCATAACGCGGGGAGAAAGGACTGAATCTATCGTACACCGGCGGCGGCGCCTCAACCCCTCCGCCTTCCCTTCCCCTTCTTCGTCGGCTGGGGCACTTCTACCGGCCGCTGGCAGATCGGGCACCGCCCGGAGACGTCCGTCAGCCAGGGGTCCAAGCACGTTTTCTACAATCGCAGCACAGTCAGTATCCAGCATCGTCCCCCTTGCGCTGCGCAGCGGCCCTCTGTGCTGAGCACTCACGTGGAAGACATGCCCGCACGACAGCAGCCTCAGCGGCTGCGGCCCCTCGCCGTCGCCCTCCTCGCCTTCCCCGCCAGCCCCGTCGCCCAACTTCAGCGCGTCCCGCTCCTCCTCCGTGACCGCCTCCACCTGTATCTCCTGCGTCGCCTCTCCCCCGCCCTCTTCGTCCTTACCCTCGCTCTTTCCCTCCTGGCCCGCGCTCGCCCCGGCCCCAGGCCCGCGCCTATGCGGCTCAGATGACCCGGACTCCGCGTTCGCGTTCGCGTTCGCATCAGCAGCGCGCGTCCCAGCGTCCGACCGCAAGCCCTTCGCCCCGCGCACCCTTCTCGGCTCCTCGAAGTCCATCAGGCAGATCGCGCACACCGCGCGGTTCCCCTCGAGGCGCACGAACGGGTACTCGCCCTTCTCCCACGTCTCGTCCCACGGCACGTCCTCGTCGTCCTCGTCCTCCGCGGCGCCCTCGACGTCCTTCTCCGCCTTCTCTTTCTCCGGGCTGGACTTGGCGCTCGCGGGGCCGGCGCGCGAAGGCTTCCTCTTACCCTTCGCGTCCTTGCGCCGGAGGAACATGAAGCGCCGCCTCGGCGCTGCTGCCGCCCCGCTGCCAGCGGACGGCGTGGGGCTCTTCGGGGGGTAGCCGTGCGCGGGCGCGGGGACCGTGACCGACACGGGAACGGACGGCGTGGAGTCGGCGGGCTCTCCGGGGGGAGGCGGGATGTAGAGCACGAGCGGGATCTGGTCGACGACCGCCTTGGGGAGCTTCGTGATGTCCGGCTTGATGTAGTGCGGGTTCTGCAGCGGGTGCCGGCCGAGGCACAGGAGGAGGATGTTGTACATGATCTGCACGATAATGATGTTCAGTTGGTTCGCTGGGACGCGCGGGATGACGGCACGCACGTAGAGGACGGGCCCGAGGACGAAGACGAGCAGGCCGAGGAGGAAGATCTCGAGCACCATCAGGTACAGCGTGCACAGGAGGGCGAACGTGAGCCACCAGAGGTGCGGCGACGAGAGGCGGCAGCTGTTCACGGAGGTGTACTCGAGGACGTGCGCGGTCAGGAACCACGCGAGCGTCAGGAACGACGTCAGCAGCGTCAGGCTGCGCCCAGTGTCAGTGCGCGAACGCAGCGAGCAGCGAAACGAGACGCGGCGCACCGGGAGTGTGCGGGGGACTTGGGGGGCTCTGGGGTGCTCGCCCCGTTCGCACCGCTCGTGCCCTCGTACGACAGCCCCGTCTGCGCGCGGCGCGGGCCCGTCCCCTGTCCCGCGTTCGCACCGTAGTGCGGCCGTCCGTTGAGGACGCGTTGGGTCGCGAGTTCGCTGTCGCTGCTGTCTCGCCGTGCCGGACCCCGCTGGGTACGCCTGTGTGATGAAAGCATGAGTTATGTCGGACGATAGCCGTGGGCTGTCCTACATTCTATGGGCCTGCGTCCGTCGCCAGCCCCAGTACGACAGCGAGGCACTCATCACGACCTTGGCGAGCCATAGCGCGTTCCACGCTCCCAGCGGCCTATCGCACGCAGACCATTCCGTCAGCCCGGGCTTCGTAGGACTCCTGCTTCGTGCAGAGACCGCCAATAAGGCGATCACAGCGACAAACTGCACATATGAGGGAGCTGAGGAAGATTTCTGGGAGTATGCGATGCGCACCTGTACGAGCCACCACAGCTCTGCGCACACGAGCGACACGAGCGCTCTCCGCGCTTGCGAGTCCGCACCTGCGTACCCCAATGAGACCATGATCTGTCCTACGACGCCCGGCGAAGGCTCACGCCCGCCCGGCTCTCGGCGCCGACCGTGTTGTTGCGGTGTCTCGGCCTGCTGCCGGTTTTCGAATAGAGGAACGTCCCATAGAGGATCTGTACCGTTGTCGCCGGCAGCGGAAGCGGTATTGGGTCGCGCAGGAGCGGGATGAACACCGGGGAGGGCAGCGGGCAGTCGGGTGGGGCTATACTGGTCAAGCTCGGGTATCGGGCGGGGCGGGGGCACGCGCCACGGCACGTCCGACTCTGAGAGGCGGGGCCGGGTGTGATAATGGGCGCGCGAGGAGGACGAGGAGGGCTGGGATGGGAAGACGGTGGCCGAGCGTGTCCTGCGGTGGTCTCGTCTGCCCGAGCTCGAGCTTGAGGAGATGAAGGACATGGCGGGGACGGCGCACGATGCGTATAGGTGGGATCCGGGGAACGATGAGACGCCAATCGCAGCGAGCAGGCGGGGAGGTGGAGCACGAGCTCGAGCTCGAGCTCGAGCTTAAGACAAGCCTGGAAGGTTGGATGGGCCAGATCAGATAACGCACGCGTGCCAGAGACCACAGAGCAGAGACAGGATAAGTATGAGCGGTCGCACTGCCCTCGACTGGGCTGCTATTAAGAACAGGCACCGTGGCCAGTCATCCGACCAATCAGCACTGCAGCAACACTGGCGTAGGCCTTATATGTAGTCCATCAAGCGCCCCAAGAATGGCCACGCCTGTCCCCGACGCGCTCCTGAACGCGTCGTGAGCGACCTTAATTGTGGTTGTCGCAACGCACGACAACTCTAACCTGTTTCGCCGTGTTCTGCGTCTATCGTGTGCTGCAAAATAATCTACAGCTGGGACCGCCTCCTCTTCCTGTGCAACTCTGTTCATTCTCTGTCAGCTATCTAGAGCACTCGGCTCCGCACGCGCCTGTTCCGAATGGGGTCTGCCAAGCAACAGGGACCGATGGCTGTAGCGGATCTGTAGGTGTAGGAACCTGGTGGGGAAAAGGGTCTCACAAAGTGTGAAAGCGCAGTGGGAGGTATTCTCCTACTCACAAGCCTCATCATCTTGTGGTCGTTCAAGGACACCTCGCTCAGACCCTTCAAGTCGCTAGCACCAGGTATACTAGTGTCCATGTCGAGCATGTGCCGCCGATCGAAGAGGCGATGGTGGGGGCGGGGGTGAGTGGATGCTTCACCTTGTCAACAAGGGTCAGAGCATACTTTGTGCGGGGAGAGCACGGTAGCTAGTCGCGACTCCTGCGGGCACATTTCTAAATACGAGGACAATTCACTCAGGAAGGTACCAAATCACCCTAGAACACGAGTATCGGACAGGAGGGGGCGGGTGAAGGGGAACCAAGCCTGGCGGCGGCACAAACACTTTTAGCACGATGGACGATGGATTGATTGAGCCGCTGGTGACCGCGCTGAGACCGCTTGTGATGGGGATGGGAAGTGGTAGAGCTATGCCAGCAGCCTTGCATGATGTTGTTGTACTTTTCCATTACGAAATCTACTTCCAGAACAGCACCCGGTAAACCCAGAAACACATGATATAGCTATGCATACAGGCAAGCGGATTACTCGGGAACCCACGACGATTCCTGCTAGGAGCTCGTTATAGTCGTCGATAGTTTATGAGGGAGGGCTGTGTGTACCGCGTCAGCGTCCGATTCGTCAGACCTGTCAAAGACCAGGCACTCACACAGGGGCGACAGAGGTGACCGGGCCGGGGTCAGTGGGGAGAGTGGGGAAGGGAGTGGAGGCGCACGCCTGCTCGATGTCGTTGTGCGTCACGCCCGCGGGCAGGTGCGCGACGGAGGCGGGGGCCGGGGGGACGGGGACGAGCTCGGAGCAGTCGATGAGCGCGCTCTCGTCGTGGCCGAGCACGGACATCCGGCGGAAGGCGGCCTTGAACGCGGACTGGAGCTTCGCCTGGTTGCCGACGAACGACTGCCACTCGCACGCGGTGCGCGAGTCGCGCGCGAGCTCCGAGTCCGACTGCAGGCGCAGCTCGCCGTGCAGCGGGGACTCGACCTCGCCTTGGTTGCCCCCCGTGCCGGGGAAGATCGTGCCGCGGATCTGGGTCTCGATGAAGAACTGGGTGTCGAAGAGCTCGGGGGTGGAGTCGAAGGGCGTGCCGGGGATGGACGGGTCGACGTGGTCGGCGGCGGCGATGGTGTGGGACGCGAGAAGGGCGACGACTTCGGCGGGGGTGAAGCCGCCGACTGTCGAGAAGGCGTCCTGGAAGCGGGCGAGGATGCTGTCGACGGTGTCGAACGGCTCCGGGACGGTCTTGTCAGGCGCAGGCTGGGTCGCGTCGGGACGGCCGATGAAGACGTTCAGTTGAGGAGCGCCGGGGCAGTTCGAGACACCGATCGCACCCGCCAATTGGATGAAGTCGGCGGTGGTGATGTTGTGCTTCGCGATGAGAGGCTTTTGCTCGCCGATGATCTCGTCGACACCGTTGTTGGCGTGGAAGTTGGTCTCGATGTCGTCGAAGAGGGCAATCGAACCGTCAGCGCCTCCACCTCTGTGCGGTCGTCAGAATTCTTCCAAAGGACACTGTAACAGAAAGCACTGACCCGAACACGCCCGTGGCGGCGATGGCGGGCGATATACCAATGGCATCGTGGAAGGTGAGACGGAGGGACTCGTGGACCTCCTCGCCGCACTCGCCACCGTCGAATAGGTTCTCCTGAAGGTCCTGAATAACTGGGATCAATGCACAGCAAGCACTGTCAGAGACTACGGTGCCGTCCGAGCAGGTTGCACGACGAATGAGCGCGCCTGATACAAGGACAATGGGTAAATAACCTCGGCCCAAGCGGTCTGAACAATTCGTCAGCTCACCATTGGCGACCTGGAGCGCGGCGAGAACAGATACGAGGAGGGTTTTGAAGGCCATCGTGAACGAAGGAGAGAGGATGAGATGTGGAGGGCTGAGCGTCCTGAGGGACGACCGGCTTTGAATCAGCCTCTTTATACCTCTCGAGACTCGTGCAAAACATCTTGTAGTGTCTCGAACTTGCGCGTCGTCGGTAGTGGTATGAAGCACTGGGACCAATCGCGACGAGTTCATTCTGACAGCGTGAACTCAGGATCCGACCAAATGGATGTTCATAGCGCGTCTGTGTGTCGATGTGTTCACACCGACATCAAAACGAATGCAGTTGGCGTCCCATACAACATGGCAGATGCAGAGAAGGGCCAAGTTCCGGGAGAGCGAACACTGCATGGACACACTGCTGTGATTCGAGCTTGGGAAACGGGAAGGTACGCGAGGTGGTCGGAGCTATCCACCGAGTGGGAGAGAGGGAACGAACGGGGCGGCGGCGCGACTAATGCCGAGGCATGCGACTACAAAGGCAAAGTCCACTACCATCGGGGAGCGATGCCAAGAAACATGGTGTGAACTGATGAGTCCATACACAGAACTCCTGAAGGAACAGGGTACGTACCGTCATGGTACTGTTGGGGTGACCAGAAGAGCCGAAGCGAAAAAACAAAAGGGAAGGAGATCTGTGGGAATCTGAATTCTGGAGTGCTCGGTGAAATGCGCTGTACCGTGCAGTGTTCGGGCGCTTCCACGTCGGGCGTTCAGTACGCGCCGTTCTTGCAAGCATAAACAGGGTAAAAAGCGCATCTAAGTGACACTTCGACTTCTTGAGGTCTCTGTGTACGAGAATACTGTCTGTGTGAGTGACCGACGCTGCGGTTGTGGCGACCGACGCTATGGGCTGGCTACGGTTGGACACAGGCGACGTGGACGCTCGACCCGTCTCGGTAACCGCCGGCATGGTGGGCATTTCTGTATTTGGTCTGTGTAGTTCGCGCAGGGTGAGCATCCCGCCGGCAGGCTAGCTCCCAGGGCACAGAATGATGGGAACGTCCCCCTTCGTGTGAAAGGGATTCGCACCCGTGGTAAAGCGGTCAGATAGTGTGTACCTTCGCCCTGCATTTCTTGTCGGGTACTGCCTTGCTAGCAGGCGTTCCGAGTACGATTCCCAGAGGGCACACGCAGCCAACCGACTGCCGATGCATGACAGGCCTGTCAGGTCAAGGAGCAAGGGTGAGCCAGAGGACGTGCTCTTGTAATGGCCAAGAAGTCATGGCGTCCGTGATCGACACTTCCTCGGGATTTGTGCCGAGCTCATACCAGCAAAGGTAACCTGGTGCCCACAGCCACTGCCTATTACTCCACCTCCTGGGTCCGCTTGTCGGCAGCGTCGGTCCCGTAGGAGCACTGTCAACTCCCAGAAGGCAACTTTAACAATACTTCCGGAACCGAATTCTCGAGTCCGGGCCTGTTCTCATGTTCTTGGGAGTAGCCTGAAAGCCTATTCTCATGTCCTCGGGAGATCTCTCACTGTCAGCGGAAGTGCACCACGGATGCTCATCCTCTAGGCAAAACAGGCACTTACGTGTGCGAAACAGAAACAAGATTCTCTGATCTTTGGCTTGGCAGCGGGCATGTAATCAAGGGGTGAGGACTGTGGCGCGTCCCATAGACGTGTATACTTGATAACACAGTAAATCTTTCAATGTTCCCATACTGGGACATCTTGTATGCGACGCTTCGACCTACAATACAAGGCAAGAGATGAGAGTGTAGGAGACAAGGAGACCGGAAATACGTACAAAGGAGACTTTATGGCGGTTAGCCAGCGATACCAAGCCCTTGAAATCTCTAGGAAGGAGGAGCATCGATCACAGCGTTTAGCATGGGGAGCTACAGTTAGAATAGTTTGTCAAGCGAAGGAGATGATTGGACGGAATGTACACAGGCGCTACGGAGGTGGAGGCAGTCGGGAGGGTGGGAAGGGGTCTCGGCACACTGAAACGTAAGAAAAAGCGGAGATTGGCTCGGTCTCGCGATACGTGTACACTACTCAACGGGACTCCGACACTCACAGTCTCCTGGATGTCGTTGTGCGTCAGCCTTGCGGGAAGGTGTGCATTGCTCGCTGGCGGGGGCGGCGTCTGCACAACCTCGCTGTGATCGAGGAGCGAGAGGTCATGCAACGTGTCGTGGAACAGGTCCTGGATCTTCGGCTGGTTCTTCACGAAACTCCGAGTCTGCCACTCGCACGCCGTCCAGGTGTCGCGTGCGAGGTGGTCCTCAGGCGCCGCTCGCCGCGCAGCGAGGACTCATAGTCGTCCTGTTTCCTGCCCGTGCCCGGGAAGAGCACATTCCGGAGCTGGGTATCGATGAAGAGGTAAGTGTCGAAGAGCTCAGGGGGTCGATTCGAAGCCTGTGCCGGGAATGCAGGGGTCTACGAGGTCCACGGCGGCGATAGTGTGCGAGTAGAGTAACCATATTGTGTCGAAGCCCGCGTCGGACATGCGGGCGAGGATGTCGTCTACGGTGTCGAACGGCCCAGGGACAAACCTGTCAGGAGCAGGCTTGGTCGCGTCTGCGCACCCGAGGAACACGCGCACTTGCGGGCCGTACAACTTGCGGCCGTGAAATATAATACTCTATGGTGAAACGGTGAAGATGCACGTACAATTCAGCGGTCGAATTGTTGGTGTTGTGCCTCGAAATGAAGGGGCCCCACGCCTCCACGATCTCGTAGAGCCCCGTTCTGACTGTTTGCGTTTGACACATATTGGAAGGTGCTCCGAGATCTTGGGTGGTCGCCTCGATAGATGTTATTCATGGCACATTTGTCGTGGCAGACTTTCACCACATACGAGAGATCCTGGCTCGCATCTGGTCTGAGTGGTTTCATCGGCGTCGTGGACTGCTATCCCATGATGCCATCGCTGTTGAACTTGTGCGTAGGAATTGCACCACCGGGAGATAGTGACTCCATGATATCTAGTACCTTCGTCACTGATGATGCAGGTCGATGACCAGATGGTGCAACTGACCTCGGTTTAGAAGCGTGGCGACATAATTCATCTTCTGTTCCTGGGTGACGGCCTGGACCATGGCAGAGAACGGTCAACTTGACTGTGCGTGTCTAGTTACTAGCTGAGTGACGCTGGAAGCTTCGAGGCTATGTGCCTCAAAGGGAGTTGGTTAGAAAGTATCACGCCGTACGACCTGACAGGAGCATTGCGATATTCTTCAGGGATAGTCGCGCAAAGCAGATTTTCGCACGATGGCAAGAAAAGGCCTGAAAAGCAGTGCAGAAACGACGGCGGCGGCCGAAGGCGTGGGAACATAGTAGGATGGGCCGCGGCCCGGGTCAAGACTGCGGCGTAAGTAGCAGTCCTTATTTGACTTGACACCATGTAAGTACAGTCGACACCCTCTTAACCCATACAGTAATACACCACTCCTTTTGACAGAGAAAACATGTGACTCAGATTTCTCAAGATCAGCTGTACCGATGCTCAATCAGTCTCGTATATCCATGGCGGCACCACATTCAAACAGTTCTATGCTAGTTTTAGTACGTAGAGTGGGAGATATATAGGAAATCCGAGACGATCTGTCGCGGAATTCGTTATCAGGCCATATGCAGTCCTTTTGACAGTCACGTCACGCTGAAGGACTTACTAAATCGGGACAGATCATCTGGACAGATCGGGCTGATCATGGTTCTCTTCCCCATCGTTGTCGTTGTCCTCCTCCTCATCGCTGGCAGTCGTCTCCGTTGGCCTCTTGAGCTTTGGCTTTGAAGGCACTGGCTCGACTCGTCCCTTCTTTGGCTTTTCCCACCCAATCTTCCTTTGTTCTGTCCTTGCCGACGCTCGCTCTCGTTCCCATCCCGCCACTGCTTGTTTATACCGCTCACTCTGGGCGGCCACCCTCGTGTTCCGCTCCTCTGCCAGCTGCTTCCATTGCCCCATTTCCTTGCCATACCGCTGCCTTTCAGTCTTCCGCTCTGCCTTGTCCGCCTCCTTCTGGTCCTGTGTAGACTCCTGATCAACCACCGTGTTGTAGAACACGTCCGCCGAGAGGAGCTTCGGTAAGCCGTCACCCATCAGCTGCTGTGACTTCTTCATCCCCTTCCTCTCGTCCTGCTTCTGCATACGTTCTTGCACTCGTCCTACGAAGGTCCCCTGAAGCACAACAGCGGCCTGCATTCCTGCAATCTCGTGTTTGTGAGTATCTTCTCGTGCTTGGGCAACTTGGAGAGTTTGCTGAAGCTCGGCCTCGAAGGTCGTGTTTGATACGCGCTTCAGAATGTCGTGGTAGCGCTGCTTCGTAGGCGATATAGGGCAAGGGTGGTATCTAGGCAGGGCTGCATCAGGGGGGATGGGAGTAGGCGATACGAGGTACGCCATGGATGTCGAGGCGAGTAGGCTCGCTACGTTGCGGGCATGTGTGGGAGTGTGGGGTGGGGTTTGTGTCGGTTCGTCTCTCCCTTCTGTGTTGCGCAATGCTGTCCGCCATGCAATGTCATTGAGTATGAGAGTTGTGAGGGCGCGAACAGGACTTGTCTGTAGGAGGGGGACAACACCGTGTGAGGAGGATGCGAGGCTTGGTGCTATCATTGTGTCAGTGATAACACCCGGGTTGAATGGGACGACTCCGGTCTTCCGGAAGGCAGCTCTGATGTTGTTGGCGGTGAGCGTGTTTGTATGTGCACTAGCATAGATGGAGAGGAAATTGCGTTTGGACACCCTACCTCCCCTGTTCTCGTAGTCATCGCGCGCTACGGTCCAGGCTTGTTTCAAAGGGCCGAAGATCACAACATCCAGGCCTTGGAGAGCATGAGTCGAGTGGGATGGGTAACAGAGAATGTCGATATGGTGCTCCCGTGCATACTGAAGAAAGGTGCGTGTGTAGTGCGAAACATGGCCATCCACAAGTAGCAGACGACGGCGCCCCTGAGCCTTGTCCTCCGTAGCGGTGTCAAATGCTTTGATCCATTCGACACCAATGTCGCCAGTCACATAGCCATTTGGAGAGTGTCCCACACTGTCGAGAAGTTAGTGCATAACGTCTATGATCACATTGTGGCTCTTACGAAGCTTTGAGTGGATTATCTTGCTTCCAGCCTGTCTGAAACTTCTCGCCCTTGAATATGACAGCCGGAGCCAGAGATGTTCCATCTGCGCAGATGGTTACAATGACGGTGACGTTCTCGCGGTCACCACTGCGCTGTTGGTACTGAATGCTCTGTCCCTTTGGCCCAAGAACGCGCTCCGATTGCCCGACACCGAGCTGGATTCCTGTCTCGTCCATGCCGTAAATTAGCTCAGTTGGGACTTCTTCTTCTCCCTCTCCTCCCTCAATCACCTCCTTCAAGAGACGGAAGTATTCGGCTGTGTTGTGGGGGTTGATAGCGCGTGCACGAGAGCTGTCGAGGGAATGGGACCAATACATCCGGAGATGATCGGAATGATTGTCCACAAAGCGCTGAGTCCAGTTCTGTCCTACGCCATCAATGGGGAATCCAGGAATTTCACGTGCATGGCAGATCTCGTCAACGTGCTCCTTGAGGCGGCGATGATTCAGAGGGAAACCACGCTTAGCTGTGTCAATAGCAAATGCAATGACCTGCTCCTCCTCCTCCGGTAAAAGCCATTTCTTCCCTGCATTGAAATCGTGTGCACTGCGCTTCCCATTGGCATGGTTTATAACAGTTTGGTGACAGATTTTGACAGGCTTCTTTGTCTTCTCAAAGCACTCTACCATAACTTCATCGCAAATGGTTCTGACGCTCTTCGGCTTGAGCTTGCCGGAGCCCTGCTCGTCCTTGTATTGTTCAACCGCGATCCTGACCCAGTGTTCTTTAAAATCAGAGTTTATCCGTCGTTGTTTCTGTTGAACCCGGGGGGCGAAGGCCTCTCCCACGGGTGGCAACGATAGCGGATAGCCTGCAACTCACCTAGAAGGGTTGTTGGTTATAAGAGGCTTGTTAGAGCGATGAGAGGAGACGTTCGAGTGAACTGAACTGTAGATTGGGGGTACAGAGGTCCCCTATATATACTACTGTACATCTGTGGCTACGTAGTACTATACAGTACATTCCCAGGATGCACAGTCGCACAGAGAAGCAGTGCGTACACAGTGAAGCTGTGTGTGTACCACATGAGTAGTACAGCCTCGGTTATTGCAGTAACCGGCTGTGCCGTTCCATATCTTGTGACGGCTGTATTAGGCAAGCTGTGTAAACCAGCGCCTGTTCAACACTCCCC